TAACGGTGGGGGGAAAAGGAAACCTTACATGAGTCATAAACGCGAAAACGCATATGGTCTGATAATTTTCAGGTCCAAAAGAAAAAACGGAAGAAATTACGAATAATAAGCATCAATAAAAACCATGTGCAGTGCTAACTAAAACTGACGTGAAAGTTGAAAAAACCGCAAGCATCCTAAGCCGCCTGCGATTTTTCAGGAAAAGGTGTCAATTTTCTGCAGATATGAGACAATTTTACAAAAATTTTTACGTACTGTAATCAAACGAAAACTATAGAAAGGCCAGTCCATACAATTAGAGAGCTACACATTCTTGCCTTCCACAATCATTAAAATTCCGTTTTCCTCGTGAGTGAATCTTACATCGTTTTTGCCAGCTTTTCTCTTTAATCTCTCCCTTCCTTTCGTGAATCAATCAGGTAAACGTTAGCAGCAAATACGCAAAGAGAAAACTTTCGAAAACTCAAGAAAAGCATGCGCGTTTTTCACCGAAATGCTTGGAATGAGCGCAACGGGAATATTGCATACAGTATTTTATTTTTTGGTCAAGTTAGTCTCTGGTAGGTATTTTCTTATTTTTGGTCAACTTAGGTTTGGCAATTTTGTTTTTCGTCAGCTTAGGTTTGGTAATTCTACTTTCGGTTAGCTTGTGTTGGGTTATTTTATTTGATTTTTATTTCTGGTTACTTCAATTTAGGTTAGGTTACTTTATTTTTCGTTAGATTAGTTTTTATAAATTTTTCTCAGATGCAATTATTCTGAAATTAATTTCACATGTCCCTGAAAAACGAAGGATGAAAGACCAAAATATTGGAGGTCGAGGCGAGCGCTCGCAGGAACGGATTATTGATATGGAAATAACACGAACAATCGAGCGCAACACTAATAAAAGGAAATAAAACTGAGCGAAAGAAGCTAGAATAATAAACATTTCAAAAATACCCCACTCACGAAACAAATTTTCGGAATGGTTTCACAAATCGGTCAACTCACTTGAGAAAATGTTCGCAGGAATCTAGCAACACAGCCCAATGCCGGCAGTCCAACGCCGTCCACGGCAAACAAACACACGTGCAACGAGGTCAGGCCGAGACCCAGGAACATGCACACGATACTGGCTAGCAAGACGAAAACGGGGTGTCCCAGACGATACTTGACGAGGCGCCAATTGCACCACGACACGACACAAAGCACCGCATAGGTTAGCAAGAACACCAAATAAAGCTCGGCGGTGTCTTGTTTCTCAAACGAGAATTGGTACTCAAGAGGATTGCGTTCGGTTTTGTAGGGATTCCCGTTCACGAGCCAAATGTCGTACTTGATTTCCACTCCGTTCGGTACTGCTGTGTATTTCCACGTGCAGTTCAGAGACGGCTGCCGACGACACGGACTAATCGAAAGAAACCAGAACCTACGCGAAACAATTTTACATATTTTTTTTTCACTTCACGGTTTCTGAACGGGCTTCGACTCTTTTGGGTTCAAATTGGGTTCGAAGTACCGTTTTATTTCAGCAAAAAAACTGATGCTGGAGAATTTTCCCGATGCTTTTCAAATGTATAAGGGATATGACTAACATTGAAGATCCCTTCGAAAAGTTCTTGATCCTACCTCAACTACATTAGTTTGCAATGCGATGCAAATTTTTTCGTTAAAAAGTTCTATCAGCCTGCGATGAAAATTTGCCCAGGACACGTGGTAATTTTGAAAAATCTCTTTCAAGTGCGAGCGCGAACGCAAAAGAAGACCCGGGATGATGAGCCACTGAATGATTCTCTTTTTTCTTTTAAAGCCTAATCTTACTCACCGAGGATGTTGGAAGTCTTCGACAATATACGTGAACTGGTTATATTTCACCACCAGTTTCGGCTGATCCTCATCCTTGCACAAAGTACCCACATCACAAGGCACGCGACGTAGGAAATCCTCCGCCCCGGATGGATTACACGCGGAATCATAAGCCGCGCCTCCAATTTCCGCAAAAGCTGCTCTACAAGACTCGTCGGAGTCAATCACATGATCTGAGAAGGCATCGAAGTAGCCCCCAGGTAACAAGCTCATGGTCAGTCCCGAGTCAAGGTCAGAGTTCGAGCTTACATTGCCGAACACATAGCCTCGGGTGTCGATATCTTCTGTAGAAACCGTCTTCTGAAATCCGAACTTGGCGATCAATAAGGATTCCCGGTCGATCACACCACGAACGCGTAACGCCACGCCGGTTGCCAAGAAACACGTGAATACTAATAGCCTCATCTCCTAACACCTGTAATGGAAGCAGTCCGTGCAATAACTCACCAGACTGACAAGAAACTTCCCAAATAAATGTGATGAATGCCGAGACGTACCTCACGTGCAATGGGGAAATGTTGAGCAAAAATATTTAGCTATGTTCAAACTTGAAATTTTTTCGCGTTATCATTTTCATTCCTTTTGACTACAGCGAGAGGTAAAATTTCCCTCAAACAATTCCTCTCGACGTTTTTCTATGGAAATTGCAAGAATTGAGGAGGGGATATGGCCGGTGTTCTCCACCTATGTCACAGGGTGATAAAAATGTGCCAGGCCAAATGAAATATAAATTTCTTCGTTGTTTTCACCATTACCTAAAATGGAAAGATAATGATTAAAACGACAAGATGTATTATCTAGCCTGGAACACTTAGCACCCAATGAAGAACTTTGGCCAAAACAAACGTTTTCTACAGCTCACATCCTTTTTTTTTTTAATATTCTATCCCTTTGAATAAGATGAATAATTGGCTTATCCATTATTCTGCCACATCCGAAAAGTTTGTGCTGCTGGAAAGCGGACGAGATACGTCAGGGATTAACAGACTCAACACTTCGGACCAAGAAACTTTCAATCAACTATTGTTTTCTCGCCACTCCAAGATAAACTCGCGTAATCGATCCACATTCCGTTTGAGGTCTTCTTTTGTTTCGCTGGGCCACACAGATACCTTTTCTTCATCGTACGACTCTTTTGCTTCCTCGATGAGGATTTGGAAAATTTCGCATTCAACGTTTTCTCGTATTTTCCCTTCACTGTAACCCCGCTGCTTTAAACGATCGAACAGAATAGTGTTATCCGTAGTCAGCACGACAACACGATCGAAGAACCGCTTCGGAAAGAATTCCGAGGCGTGATATTCCACGATCATATTCCCCTGAGCAATCAGCGGTTCCAGCTCATCTAAAACGGCATCTTCGTTGATAATTGGCACAGCACGTTCAGAATCGAACTCCTCAATCAGGTTTTTATCCAAGGCAAGTTTGCTCACGTTGACAGACTTCATACTGCTGCAGGATTTCAGCAGTTCGGCTACCAAAGTGGATTTTCCCGTACCGGGAGTACCGGACACTAATATGTTCGGACCTTGACGACTATCCCCCGACATGACACAGGCACTTCACTCGGGACTTTTGGAAGATTTCTGAATACACTGCCTAAATTTCGCGACCACGTCTTGACACTTCCGCCAATCCTTGTGCTCTCCGATACACTCCTATAAAGGATGGCACAAAGTCATCAAGTACCTGGGAGTAAAGAGAGCCAGAGAAATTTGATTTCGGATTTTCAAGCTCAAATACCTGCACAGCGTAGTGCAGTTCCAAACAACCGGCTTTACGCAGCGCTTTTTCCGCGGGATCTTCGTCGGGAGATTCTCGTACGCTACCGTAACCATGTGATGACATTGGTAAAGAGAGGTTTCTGAATACGAAAAATTTCACTCGCGAAAGATACCCTGAAATCCACGAAGCAAAGCCGCAAAATTCCAAAGAAAAATGAATTTCGTCTGTGACTTCAGGGTACAGTACACAGAAGAGCAAGCGAATGCACAACAAACGCAAAAACTTAAAAAAGTGAACTATTCGAAATGTCAACGCTTGCTCATTTCTGCTCTCCCTAATTTGGTTATTTTGATACCGAAGTTTCTTTTGAGATCTTCAAGTTTTTTGATTGCCACAAGTTCACTCCGGTTTCTTGATCACTTTTACATCAAATTGAACTTTTCAAATTACTGTACAGTGCTCTTCTGTTGTGCTTTCATTTTATCACGAATAAAGATTAAAACATCCAGCGCTGAAATATAGCTGAAAATTCAAGTACGATAGTGCATCACAAAAAGGAAAAAGCACTGGGATCACGGAATTTCATTCAAAGAAAAACGAAGGACAAAGGAAATTCTGGGGTAACATATTTTTTTAAGGAGACTTCGCGAACTTGGCCGTGAGAATTTTGCCAAATGTTGATAACGAAGTAGCTCATCGTGGTCGAACCACAGCAGCCAGTTCCCTCAACAAACGAAACTTCTTCAAGCACCTCAAGTCTAACGCCATTTCACAATTTTCTAACGGACTCGTCTCCAGTTCCCTGATCAACTTCAAAACGTATTTCATCTTGCCAACTTCCCCCCTCATTGCGTGAAAATCCACGAGAAATTCCAGCATCGCACAATCCCAAAATAGCTCATATAAACAATCCGTCCCATCAGTAGACACATGGTCTCTTAGAAGTCGAAAAGCTTTTTCATATTTTCCATCGTCCTCCAGGTACTGACACATCACCGCCGCGAAAGTACATTTCCGCAAGGCTGAACAGCAAGTGATCAATCTGTTGTACAGATCCTCGCACAATAAAGAACTATCAACGCTGAAGAAGTGAGTGCTCAAGGAAATAAACTCCAGATAATTCGTGAGAGCGGGGTAATGGCATCCGAATGATAAATAAACGTCAGCTCTGGTCTTGATCCATTGTCCCACTCGCGGCCAAATTGTCAATCCGTAATCCAAGAAAAGCAGGATCAAATCAACTACGGTTTCGACCACCTCAGGTTTATCCACTCGTGACAACGGAATCGGCCACAATTCTTCCAACTCGTATTGCACTTTACCAAGTGGACTATCATTGACAGCATTCAAAAGACTTGCAAACAAAGAGATTATCAATCGCATAATCCGCGGCTGAGAGATTAACACTAAACAAGGTCGCATGCTCGTTCGGTTCAAAACCAGTCGCGATTTGAACTCATTTGGATGTAACAAGGCTTCGAATAACTCGTCCCATATTGTCTTCGCTGAAGATGAAATCTTCTCTTCGCTCGTTTCAATCGAAAGTCGGAACATGGATTGAACAAAATCTAAACAAGTCACCATCCCTCGACGCTTTTCATTCCTCGGCTTAGGTGTGGGCAGAAGACCCGGACGAGATATTCGTTCCAAGGCTTTCACCGTCAACAACCTTGAAATTACGTTTTCCAGAACAGGATTGTTCCCGAAGCCATTCAATCGCGTTTCTCTGAGTAGCTTGGAAGCTTGAATGGTAAGATTATCTGCTTCCAGGGTATTTAACATACTTGCAATCGTCGGACTCGGGGCAACACGCGGGAATTCTGAACGAAGACTATTGACCAACGTGACAGCGGAGTCGAATTCTTCCAATTTCCATAATTCCGCAATCTTAGCCATCATAACATTTGCGTAAACTCTCCAACTATCGTGTTCAAAATTCTGATTAAACGCGAACTTCCAACGTTTTTGGGCATCTAGTTGAGCAACTTCATTCCCCGAAAGAATCGAACACAGGTCCTTTATTGCGACTGGATTGTAGGTGGCAGACAAGGAATTCAGCAGTGTGAATGTGACTGGACCAGATGAATTATGCAAGGATTTCCATGGAAGTGATGAACTGAGCAATCTTCGTTTGTACACTTCTCGATGATACAAAGCACGCCTGACAATTAAGTACTCAGCAGGAGATATGAATTTCTTTTCTTCGAGGAACAGATCAGCGATCGGAACTCCTCTCAAAAGCATTTTGACAACGTACATTTTCAAGCGTTTCACTTTGTCTTCTGGACCAGCAGCCATAATTCTTTCGCACATATGCAGCAAATGAGGCCTCCGTTTGGCTTTACAGAATCCAACGAAATTCCACATCACACAACCGGAATTCAATACCGCTTCACAGAAGGCATCTTCTAAAATAACCTTCTCGTTCACGTCAGTTCCAGACGGCACTTCATGAAAATCGCCGCTTTCATCCACAAGCTTCATTTTCTTTGAAATTTCTCTTGCTGAAATACTGTTATCGCCTGTTTCTAGGTTTAGGGCCATAGCGTAACCGCGAAGGACTTCCATATTCAGATGCAGATTATCACAGCTTTCAGATCCCAGATCATTTGCGAGGCTTAAAAGCTTTTGAAAACACAGACGAGATTCGGCAAAATTTTCAGTGAGAAAATAAAACATCCCCAAATCGAAATAACTCAGACAACTAGACTCATTCAAGTTCACATTCTTCGCTTTCCTCCAGTCAATGTGCATACTTGTGGACTTGACAACGAAGCATTCTGGGGCCAGGAAACTTCTCGGGTCAGTTAAAACAACAGACTCACGCAAAAAATCCGCCGCAAGACGAGCGCGGTTCGCTACTTCTTCACTTTCCTCGCTGTCATCATCATCGTTCCCTCTCATCACTTTTTCACGAATCAACACCGTCGATGGAACAAACGCTTCTTTCAGCGGAACGTTGTGCACAACTTGTTTCACATACGCACGCAGACACCAGCGATTAAAAAGTTCCGCACTTCCTCGTTGGTGCGACGACATGGACGCAAAATATGCCATGTTATGCACTTCATCGGTTGGATGAACACCAGCTTCTATTAATAATCCTTTGAACAACGCCATCTGTTTCGGTAAAGGTAACTCCAGAAGTGTGTCGAAGTGCCAATGCGACGAGGATGCAATTTTCAGGGCGAACAATCGACACGCGTTTGCCTTCAAATCGTTGTAAACAGCAGCAGCTGACAGGGAAAAGCTACCATCAACAACGGAATTGAGGATAAAATCTTTCATAAGATCGACGATGGCTCTCCAGTCCATACTTTCCAGGAGCGGGTCCAGTTGTGAAGGGTTGAATAAAATATGCAACCAATCCATGCTTGAACATAAAATGCGCAAACAAAAACCTATCTGCACGAGAAAAAGGGCACCTTGCGTTGAAACAAGTAATATCTGTAAATTTGCCTACGTCTTGAAAAATCTGAAGAAGCGCTCATTCAATAACCACGACACACACGATACTACGGAACACACACGTAACGCGAAGCACTCTCCAGTCGCATCATAATCCTGAAAAATTGAACAAAGAAAAAATTAACAATACGAAATAGGAAAAAACTTCGTAAAAATTTCAGAGGGCATCTCTCCACCCCAAATTCGATGAATGTAGAAGCATAAAAGCTCCTATGGCAACAAAAAGAGCAAAAAACACCAGCGTTCCAGAAAATTGCTTCACGACGGACAGAAAATTGAGGTCGGCTGATTGACCAGAAACCTCTCCTCGAACCCCATTTTGCTCGAACTTGCCCAACACCTTCCCCATCATAAAATGTTTACCAGTAGAAACTACTTCGACGTCCACGGTCGAGCCCATTAACCCATCCTCCGGCGGCAAAAGAATCTGAAAATAGACCAAGGGAATATCGTACACTCGAAAACCTTATGTAAAGAATAAAAACCAACCTGTTCGTAAAATTTATTGTGTCCCACCAGGTGATGCTTATCGTGAGCTAGGTCAGTCACAAGTACACGATATTTCTTGCCTCCTCGTCCTTCATGCGGATTGTAATTCGCGAACAAGTCCGATAAGGCTTTACTTCTTTGCTTCACCTACGGAGTTTTGGAATTAAGATCTAATGAAAGCTTTTCATAAAATTAGCCTTTTGATACCCCTGCTATGCCCCGCAGCAGAATGTATGAAAAAATATATACACATAGCTTCAACAATATGAAAAAGAAGTTAACTAACTTTACATGAACGAAATGAAATTGCAGTGAAACTCACGTATATAAGAAAAAGTACTCTACGTCCTGAAAGACGCAGAGTAACGAAGGACAAATTCGCATAAAAATCAGTCACGTGATCACCGGGAATTTCCCAGTGATCACCTTATTGACTGACGCACCCTTTTCAATCCACCGGTTTTTCCCATTTTGAACCCCTGTGATTTTTTCTTACTGCAGACGCATTCAGTCAGGTGATTCTGCTCAGTGTGCGGGTGCATTTTCTAACTGCTGAAAACCTGTTGCAATTTTTTCCTCTGATTTTGTGTGTTCACTTGACATTTTTCAGATTGACTTTCACTCGTCAAAACATGTGCATTTTATTTGAAATGGAGTCACTTTTGTAATAGATTATCTTTATCTTTCGAGTCTCCTGGCAAGGAGAATAATTTCCTGTTCCCCGGCGGATTCTGAGTTTAATTACCATTCTTTCTTTTTTTCGCTCTAAACCTCAAGGTCAAAATAAAAAGAAAAGAAATCTAAAACGAAGTGCTGTACCAAAAACAATTGAATTCGTTGAACAAAACTCAAATTCTCACGATGTGGGTAGGTATCCTCTTCATTCGAGCAGCAGGAGTTCCCGGTCGCGGATAAAACTGATTGATGAATAAGCTTGGAAACTTGTATCGTTTACAAAGCTCAAAACTTTCCTCGAAATCTTGTTCTGTTTCGGTAGGGAAGCCACAGATTATATCGGTTGCGATTGATATCCCTGACACTCTGGAGGAGATAATAAATTAATTTTGAATTTAAGACGTCGATTATCACTTGAACGAACTTCTCTCGAAGAAAATCAACAACGCGCTCGAAATCCGCTCTGCAATATTCTCGCTTCATCTCTTTCAGTACCGCATCACTTCCAGATTGCACGGGAACGTGAAGAAATGCGTAAACTCGAGGGTGATTTAAAATTTTTCCGATTTCCTGTAAAAATAATTCGATAAGAAAAGGATGATCAAGGTAACAAAAAGCTAAAAAAAATCGATTAAGTTCTAATTTTAGAAAGTCGAATAAGAGAAATAGAAGATGTACCTCGAGGTAGTCTAAAATGTACGGCGGATTTGTCATCCCAAGTCGCAACATAGCTCCTTCTGGAATATGTTCCACTACAGCATCTAGGAGCTCCGGTAACGAAGAGAATAAATCTCTACCATAGGCGCCCGTATCTTCGCTTGTAAGCCATATTTCTTTTACCCCTTCTGCGATAGCTTGATCGACACGCGCAACGATTTCCTCTGTACACAAGAACATCGGAGTACACGTAATTAGATTACATTTTGAAACGAGAAAAATGACGAGTAGAACTAACCCACAGGATAGCTGACAAGATTCCCACGAGCATGTTTAGTTTTGCAGTAAGTGCAATGGTTCAAACAACCGGAATTGATCGAAATTATTTCAACCAATTGGTTTTTCCGAATTTTTGGAAGAACAAGCGACGGTCCGGCAACGCGTTTTCCCTTTTCCTTCTTCGGCGCAAGCAGCCTCACGGAGTTCCCTATTTCCATTCAAAAATAAGATACTATGGCTTTGTCACATTTAATACGAGTAGATTACCTTTTAAAGTTTCCTCAACAACTTCAACCACTCGGTCAATTTGCTGTACGCCAAGGATTGAAAGACCTTTCAGATACTCTGACTTCGGTGCTCCTTGCGAAACACAGCCGGCAACTACGACAGGAATCCCCATGTCTTGTGCGTGACGAATTTCATTCTTCAAGTGATCTTCGGCGGGATTTTTTACGGTGCAGCTGTTCAGCAGCCAAAGATCAGCACCATCTCCTTTTTCTGAAAAGCAGGAAAATTGATACACTGTAGCATGCAATCATCACTACACGCGAATAAAAAAAAACACTCACGCGCCAGGCTGAACCCATAACTTGAAAGAAGTCCGGCCATGTATTCTCCGTCGGATACATTATGTGTGCAACCCCAGGTTTTAATGTAAACTGACCCCAATCCAGGAATATTGCAACTATTCGAACGGTCATACTGTTCCGGCACGACGGATTTTCGTTTCCGCCTGTACACGGCGACGCTGCCCCGACCGCTTTGTGCATCATTGCCGTTTTCAGCGGCGATTAAATCTTCGATATCCTCAAACATTTGCACAGCGAAGTCACGTGAGCACGATAAGGACTCGCTTTTTCACCGGTTGTGAGCACTTTCCCCCAATGATCTCAAGGAAGGTTACACAGAGCTTAGCATTTTCGGAAGAGACCAGCTATCGAGTGATCAAGATCGCAGGACTTCAATATACAGTACTTCATTCGAAATACTGTACTGTACCCCGCCCCCCCCCCCCGCAAACAAGCGTATAGTTAGCTCGCATGCTACATGAACGATATATGCGTTAAAAGGGTTAAATAAGCCTCTATCTGTGACGCAGTGTCCTTTTTAAAGTTTACTTCACTACTGTACTGTGCTACTGGTTATTCGAATGTACAGTACAGTACTGTACTTCAGTAGTTCAATTATGACTCATTTTTCTCGAATAAAGATCAATTATGAAGTTAAATTTATTTTAAGTCAGTAAGAATCAGGCTAATGCCTTTTAATTACAGAGGAATATACAGCAAAATATATGAAAAAGGATTTCAATTAATCCTGGCTAGCGTTGCCAGCTAATCCTGCTCTTCACATTGCTGCTGAACGTTCATGCCAATTCATGCAATCAAAGACATCACAACTAACTTTTTCAGAAGACTGAGATGTTCTGCAATGTGGCAAAAATATAAATGTACTCTACCTGCTTTCGACCGTTAAAAGGAGTGGATAACACATCATGCAAGTATGAAATCATGAAACGCCACGAAATGAAAAATAAACTGTATAAACTTCTATTACCACCAATACAAATCAATTCATCCACAGAATATCACATCGGAGACGATTCCATTAAAATGAATCGAATTGAACATCGGAAAATGATCCGCCCACAAAAATAATCGGAAGTTAGAGAATGAGACAAAGGAGTCTGAAGACAGACAGGGATTTTAGATTTCAGCAAGAGTTTGATCAGCCAACGGTTCCTGCGAGGCTTTCGGGCTTTCTTGAGCTGTACATCACAAAAACAGCATTTTTATTCAGGTGTACAGAAAAAATGAATGCACTACTCACCAGCTCCCGTAACTTCAGCCTCTTCTTCGCAAACACTGTTCTCCACGATCAGCTGATCACATTTGACCTCTTCTACTTCGCCAACGAAGATATCAGATGTCTCGGGAATTTCAGTTTTCAACATTTTTGATACGCCACGTTGAAACCCACCCCTTCGTTTCTTTCTACCACGGGGAGCCTCTGACGGACACCTAGGTTTTCTGGGTTTCTTCTCCCGAGCAAGCTCGGCGATTCTTTCAACACGTACATTCCAGAGTATGCAATCCTCATCGGCAAATTGCAAACGTTGAAAAGGATCGAGTTTCGGATTGTAATCCATGATTTCTACTCCCAGCAACGAGCAAAGCTTTTCCATCACATCATCAACGAATGCATGGATCACAAGTTCGGCTTTCGAATTCTTAGAATATAAATTAAATTTTCGAGTAAGAAAAAATATTTTAGGATTTAAGAAAATAATACTCACGAATTTTGTTTTCTGGAGATTACAAATAACCAGTTTTTTCGATTTCAGAGGGATGCATCCACTGGGAATAATCTGGAGCGTGGTTCCAAGGGTTAAACTTACATCAGCAACTCTTGGGAAGAAAAAACCACATATTGTAGAATACAAATTAAAAAAAAAAAGAGAACACCGTATTTTTGACTTCAAACGCATGACCTTGACTTTTGGCAGGTGTCACCTGAATGAAAAATCTGACCAAAAATCGCTCTTCCGACAAACATTGAACTGTGTACAGGTCAGAACGTTGATTAAATTCACAAGGCATGAACAAATTTGCTAATCGACGTGGGTTGAAGTTCGAAAGTAGAAGACACAGTAATTCTTACGGTAGGTGGAACGGACAAATAATTAAATTTCTCGAAATTTGGCAAGAGAAGGAATCTGAAAAATACACCGGAAAATTTTATAAAACGGCACGCTAATGATGAGAGGAATTTTTGTGAATAATCGAAAACATTTTTCGGGAGGAGGCTAAGAAAAAAGATACAGCTCAAGATGAAGACAACATTTTCCCGAACATCTCATAAAAGTAACAGTAAATCCATGCGTAAACCTTCGAAAAACAAGAAGACTTCCGCCTCATCTTTCAAACACAAATTTTTCGTACTCGGAAAATGATTCCGCAAGATAAAGTTCATCTGCTGGCAAATCTGCATCCCAATCCAACACAGTGTCGAATAAACGGCCGCGACAACGTCGCGAATTTTTCTTAAACGCAGGGCAATATTCTCCAATCCACTTCTGTCCCACTGTTTTCGACGGTTTCGTCAGCACAAAGAGCCTGCGTTAAGAAATTTCTGGCATGAATAAAGTGGGCAAAAATAAATTATTTCACTTACTGCTTGCAAACGTCACATCGGGCCACTAGAATATTTCCATGTAGCTCAACAATAGCATCTCTTGGCAATCCTGATCGGAGATGTAACCCATCCACATTTTGACTCACAATTAGGTTAACAAAGCCAGCCTTATACAGCGAAAATAATGCCATGTGTGTTTTCGTCGGTAGGGCTTCTTCAAATTTTTTGTCGATCGTCGGTCGCTCACCTCGCTTTTCAAGCGTCCATACTCCATTCGGACCCCTGAGAACAGAACATCGTTTAATAAAACAGAATACGTGCGTTATGAATTACTGTATATATTAAAAAAAAACGAGTAAATTTATTCAAATGTAAAAGGAACACGTTCAAGAAATCTAGCGCACAAAAAATCGATTACCGGTGCATTACGCTTTGGAAATTAATCAAAAGTCAGGGTGTACAAATAAAAAATTCATTCAATCATGCAAAGCTTGAAAACATTTCGCGAAATTTGCAGAACTGAGACATGATCTTCTCACAGCACTGTTGAAATGTCTCTCAAATTTAATCAGAAGTTCGAAGGAAATGACGATAGTGCACCTGAAATCTGGGATTCCTGCCGAAGTTGAGATTCCCGCCCCCGTGTGAACCACAACTGTTTTCGCAGCTTTGATTAATTCGGCAAGTTTTAAAACCTTCTCGTCCACTGCGTCGGAAGCGTCAAAGATCTGTAGAATTCCGATAATGTCAACCATCGAATTTGAGAGATAAATCTCAGTTAAGCTTACCTCCGGCAATCCAAGTTTTCCTTTGTTGGCATACTTGGACAAGCCTTCAGCGTAGACCGAAGACATGAGCAAACACACTACAGCTATTCAAGCCCTAAAACTCCGCCTAAAATATTCAAAGCATACACTTCATCAAATAAATGCCGTACGAATATGAAATATAGAATTGACAATGAATTGGAAAAACTTATTTTATTCCTTGGAAAATATCACCGCAATCAAGGAAGCTGACAATATTCATACACCCCGGAAAACATGGTTTAACGGCATTCGCAGAGAGAACAATTCCTTAATCCTGTGTTACTCGACTTTAATTCGCAACTTTGCAAAATTCGAAGAACAATCGAAGTACAGTAATAAAAAAAAACGTAATCCTGTGTTGCTTGACTACAATACGCAACTTTTCAGAATTCGGCGAACGATCGCATAATAACAAAACTTGCGCCTGTATTACTGTACTTGACTTCAGCATGAAGTCTTCGAACCTTTCCAGAGCTAGAAGAAAAATCACGAAAGATGCGATTTCTTTAAAAATAAGTACTGCCCACGCAGAGGCTCGGTTACTAAATAATCACGCTTTTTCATGTAGTGCTCCAACGCTTGGCCTCCTTCTTCTGTGTGATATGCTTCAACACCGATCACCTTAAACAATTGCAACATTGAAGACGGTAAGTTACAAAGAAGGGCAAACACCAGTACGTTAACTCAGTTGACGAACAAATTCTCACATTTCCAGATCGAAGGGCTTTTCGTAACAGGATAATACAAGTAGAGTCTCTCTAAAGTCTAAACGATTCGTTGAATACAACGAATTTCTCTGCTCTATGCGCAACGCAAAACAAAAATCCCGCAAGTTGAATTCATTTATCAGAAAATGCCTCTTTGTACAACTCCTATCATCCATGGCGAGTATACGAACATGAATGCCACTCTTGAAATTGTTTATTTGCCTATCGTATGCCGAAGTTTGGGCGGCATTTATCATGCACAGTGGACGGGTCTCTTATGAAAGCTGCAATGCTTGTCTTTAAGCAGAATTTAATTTTCAAACAACTGGTTTTGTTGTTCCACCCTCATGGATTGTTTCTGAATTAGCACCTATAAATCCTACTTATATTTATATTAAGCTCAATGAAAAAAAGGAGTTCAAGCTGCTAATTGATACCTATTCATCACTTAAAGAGGCAAAGTTGATCTGGGAAAACCAGTAGAAATGTACACAATTTATATTCAAAGAAAATGCAGGGATTAAAGCTCAAAATGAAGGCTATTCCAGGCTTCATCATGACCTTTCTCCAGAGAAAGATAATCTGAATCTCTCAAAACTTTCGGAAGAAAATTCGAAGACACTTTCACAATTTTGTAATCCACGGCATTTTCGTACCCCGCGAGATTTTCGACCTACGGGATTGATGGACCTACGGGATTTTTGAGCCCCGGGACTTTCTCTCCCTCGGAATTTTCTTCCGCACCATTACCCAATCTCATTGAAGGTTCTTTACAATGAAGTTTGCTTTACAGCAAAGTTTGCTATTTGAATTGAATTTCGTGGTAAAGACAGTCTCCGTATAGTGCAATAAAGCCAAATAATAAAGAAGCATTCTTACACAAAAGCGAGACTTGAGGCCAAATAATGAAGAAAAAATTATTTAAAAAAAGAGAGGCTTCTGGAATACCTTGATATCAACTTTATTCCACGGAAGGGTTTTCAGGACCTTTAGTTCCACGCCCTCAAGATCCAAAGAGAGGTAATCTAACGACGTCAGACCGCTCGCAACCAGAAGTGAGTACAGAGGATAACACTCCACAACTGTGAACACCTGTCTGGTTCCTTTCCGTAAAATTGTCTGCTCGTCAACTTTGGTCCACTTCTTGCGACTTATGGTCCCTGTACGTTCCTCCCAAGGGTCTCTCGGGTTGCAAGTGTATTTCATTCGTTTCTAGACATTCCCATTAGAAAACTAGTGTATCAGGATTTTTTGAGATCTGACACCGACCGTGCTTGAAATGCACTGATAAAAACAGTTTGAACTTTAAAAGTAGGAGAAATCAGACAATATCTGTCGTTCAAGTTTAAGAAAAAATAAATTCACTAAACAAAAAGCATCCGTCTTGTTGAAGCTGTGGGTTCAGCTCTGTTCTTATTTTGTTTTTATATTCAAATTTCCTTCTATGCACATTGTTCAATTTTTCTTCAATTCTGGGTTTTTTCGAAAAAAATTTTAAAAATCGATTCTATCAGTGATATTTCTCAAGTTTTTTGAAACTTTCACCATTAGCCAAAAACACTCAAGAACTCGGTCCGTCCAATGAATACAGTACATTACAAATACAGTACTGTACGCATAAATCTCAACAGTTAATTTTTGCGTTCGCCATAATTGCGATTCAGTTTAGAAACTTGATTTCATTCAGCATGACGGCTGTTTAAAAAGCTGTCGCGATGTCATACAAAATAAATGTTTTTCTTTCGTCAAAAAGTCACCTTCTGTGACTTAACCTCCGGAGAAATGCAAACTGGGAATATTTTTGACCTTCTGTGCTTCGAAAGAAGCCTCTGAATATTTGGTTCCGTCATTTCAATCAGAAGGCCAGTCCATTTAAGAAACCTTTCCAAGTAGAGCGTTCTTGAAGCCGTTTCTCCATCAAGCGCACCAGCTTCCAAAAACGTTCCAGAAAAAGTTTCATTCTTCTACAACACGAAATTGAATAAGTTCCGCAGGAAATTCTACCAGATAATAAAACTCACAAATTTTTGAAGCCTCCCTATAGTAGGGAGGAGAATTTGAGACGTGAAGAGAAACTCGGACGGATCCTTGATCTCAGGATGGCTTAAATTCAAAGCTTTTGCTGTCGGATGAACGAGGAAACTGCGAATATGCTTGATAAGTTCACTGTCGTCCATCGGAACCGGTGGATCCCTGAAGAATCCCCAGGGATCCTCGTCCACAGGCACAGTTATTGGAACATCCCAATTTTCAGCACTTTGACGAATGCCCCACTTCGGGTGCACCAGTCTGCTTTCAGCGGCATAAACTGGTTTGTGTTGAATTAGAAGCCCTCTTCTAAGTTTTTGATCGATTTTAGATTGGGGAACAATTACTTTTGGAACTGGTTTGACCGACGTCCAAAATAAAGTCGTGATGTACCAGGCACAAATGCAATACACGATACAAAAACAGAATTTTGTCCATGACTGAGAAATTAAGATGTCCATTTTCGGCATCGAGAAACCTTTTCATTCAAAACTTTACGAGGCAATATGTTCAATAAACCAATCGTGAACAGGGACAGGAACATGCTCAACTAAGGATTCCGATCTGATAAGCTAGATATTCTCATATACTCGGGCGTTTCTTCAATAACGACCATTTCACTTCCTGATTGGTTTATCGTGGGTAAATTTAGTATCGCACAATTTAACCATAGACGTAGAAAGCATATATTGAACAGCACTGATCACATCATCCCCAATGCAGGCAAGAATGGTCACGGAGGACAAGAATATAATTAAGAAATATTCCCGCTTTATTAGACACCTATTTTTTTGAAGGATGAATTAATAATAAAACAAAATGACGTATTTCACAATAGTCTTCAACTTCTTGGTTTCCGAAACGAAGTGCTCACCTAAATTTTGAGACGCATACAAAGGCAAATCATAGGAGTTACTGCCCTTACAAGCTTGAACTTGATATAAATTTGTCATACTGTACTGTACTTGATTAATTGTTAATATTGGAAAAAGTTTTTCATTAACACACACAGGTGGCCTGGCGAGTTTCAGAACAGCCTGAACTAGAAAAATGAATAAATTGAACAGCTACATGTGGGCAAAGTCAGTAGCTTTCACGCAGAGAAAATTACAATCCGTTTCGTCGCGCAATTTTGGAATTCACGATTTAAAAAAAAGTCTCTGTATTTTTAGGAATACTGTATTAAATGTTGATCACTTCTGAACTGAGGGACGAGCTGATGGGGATACGCAACGGAATGTCGAATTTGAATCAAACAATTGCAAGGACGACGATTGCTATCAGCAAGAGGAAGATCACAATCCAGTAACCTGCAAATGAGACGTTTGTTTGAAAGCTGCAACTTCACGAGAAAGTAACACCCACCGAAAGTGCCACTTCTTTTGGCAACAAATTTCACGCTTTGGGTTTCTTTGAGAAGACGCTCCTGTGTTTGATCCATGCCATCGAATATATCATCAAGAATCTCTTCAAAAGCAATACTTGAGTGAGGTGATGGAAAGAAACAATTTTTTGCGAAGAATACCATTGTGAGCATCAACCTCCTCGTTGATTGCTCCAGCCATTTGCTTCTGACGAGCGATTGAGGCAGCCAACAAATCCAACCCTTCGTCTTGCCCTATTTGAAAATTAAATCATCGACAATTACGTTCCCTGACTGGTGAACGCGCTTTCGCTCTTACGTTGGATGATTTCCTCGCGCATATTTCTCAAATCTGCTTCACTGAAATTTCTTGATTCTTCAGTTTCCCCAGTTTCCCAGCCAATAGTCCCACCATCGCGAACACCAAATAATTCTCGACGCGCATCCGCCTCACTGTCAGACGTAAATAGAGGCAAATCGTTCCGAAATTACGCATGACGTTGACTTAATTCACAAATTTGGGTTTGCATTTTTTGAAACATTCTCTGATTTATTTCAGTCATTCTACTTTGAACAAAATAAATTGACTTTTTCGAATCGTCGTTTGGAAAGTAAGCTTCACTTCTGATATTTGTACACAGGCGAATAAGACATTCTTTGTCCCTCACCAATGATCAAACTTTCCTAGTTAATTGTCTTCATTCTTCAAAACTTTTCGATTCCCATTATTGGAGGTAATTCATTAATTTTTCTTTAGGATATTTCTTCAAGACTTACGATTGAAGAGTGATTGGATCTCCCAGACGCTCTGCTGGGTGATTGAATAAGTCCCACAATTGCCTCTCTCGGGACTGCAAAGTTTCCAATTTCCGCTGGCGCCTTTCGGCTTCAGAACGAGTCCTATAATGTTGAACACATACGAATGGACATTCATTCTCACGTGCGATAATCGAATTTGCGTACATTCCCGAATGTATCTTTGGCGAATGAAGTTCGCTGTTCAATTGTTTGATCACCACCTCGAGCTGTCTTAATCCTTGTCTAGCGCTTGCAGAAAACTTCGAAAAATTTGCCGATGTCCTCATAAAAGTATCTCGATCACCTATGATACCCGCGACTTCTCGGGCGAGACCCTCTGCAGCCTCCAAATCCCGTAGCCTGCAATTTTATTCGATGAGAGTCGTACCAAACGGAGATGAACGGATTCCATGAGTAATCACAGATCAGAGTGATCATTATTTTTTTTACCGCCGTGAATACGACGATACAATGAATTCAAATGTTCCTGAAGCTAATTAGAGTGAACAAAAGAATATCACTGCCAAACATCAGGATTCGAAAAATTTACACACCAACGATCGCTTTTGGAATCCATCTCTTCTAGGTTATGCATCAATGACTTCCGGAAGCTTGTAAACTCTTGCGACTGAGCTAACTCAAGCGGTACCGATACTGTATCAGGATAAGACCGAACGGCATAAAAAAAACCACCTCGTCCGTTTCATGACGTTTTAATAATCACATGTTCCAACGCAATAAGGACCACGAGAGATGGGAAATACACACCCTTTCTAACCCATGGAGAGAAGTCAGTCTCAATTCTAACAAACAATAATAATAGAATTCCATTCAAGAAACAACACTTTCCACACACGGGAATCTATTCTTGTACGAAAATCTAAAATATTCCAACGGATCACAGCGAATTCACTTGATCTTTTCCGTTGACCACGCTTTTTCTAGAGCATCTAAACTCTTGACTCCAGGTGAAGAAAAGGGTAAGTCATCAGTCGTCTTGCTTGGCAGAGATTGGCTCGTGGGCGAACTGTGAAGAATTATTTAATCCACTCGTATCATCGACGTCTTCAAAAAACAATCAAATAAGAAGTCACTGTTCATGACTCACTAGTTTCGGGCAAAATTTGATTGGCTAATGCGGTACCATCCGTAATGAGCTACGGCCAATCCCGAAAACATCACGATGTAAACTTGATATTCTCTGATAATTTGAAGAATTCCCGGCATGACAAAAATGCCAAGTATTGCACAGGGACCTACAGATATGCAAACGAATGCATTGCTCATTTTTCATGCATAATCGACGAATTTAACGTATATCTTCCTACCCACCCTATTGTCAATGGAACAAAACTAGAAACGTAAAAATTTCAAGTTGATCACTGCAGTCATAACACTCCACGCTGACACTTCACTAATTGAATGGGTGCTTCCTTAACGGTGTGGCAGGCAGGGCGTACTCTACCCTCGATTTGCACAGCAACGGCATACCAGGAATATGACATGATTACAGTACAGTATACTGTACACGAGATAAGCCATGACATGCCTACAGATGGGTGGGGTATGTTCGCCTTTTCACAGAAGAGAACTTGGCTTTCATCGTAGCGTGCCTGGAATTCACGTGCTGTATATTACTGCCATTGCTTTTTCAAGGTCTAGACAGCGGAACTGTACCAACGGATATGCTTTTTTCCATCTTTTCAAGGAAAAAGAGCGGACCTTGAAAAAGTCACTCCACCCACCGGATGGGTTCCGCTCATTTTTGGGAAGCGTTTCAGTCCAGGATCAGTCGGTGGACGGCGCCTGCAGAATTTCTGTCCTGTGCTGGATGAGAATGTCAGGACAAAGCGAGTGATGAGGTTGTGTTCAATTCCTTCCCTGTCGAACTTGACCTGACCCTGAAGTAACTGATGCATATCTGTGCGTGTGTTATTGCTCCATTGTTTTCTGTGAGTTACTATTCCTTCCAATCGCTGTATTTTGTACTTTTATTTGAAAGGGATTCGAAAGTATGAGAACGCGGCATCATTCAAGCTTACACTTCCCATCTTCCTACTTCAGAGATGTGCTTTTTTTCTTAAGTGTATGTAGTGCTCGCGTCAGTGTTGGACTACTTTGATTTTGTTGGTTCTGTTGTACGCGTGTGATATCTATGAATTTATCCCCGATTTTGGATATGCCTAAATTATTTCATAATATGTTTTTTGCGAACTAATCGTGCAAGTTGGTCAACAGAATTACGGTACGCTGATAAAAATTGTGTGTTAGTGTAAAAAATTTAGTGATAAAAAATACCTGACAACTGAATGAGAGAAAAATCGCTTTCCAGGTCGAAATCTGATCGGTCTGGGTGCCAACAGTTTGAGTGACGCAAAATGGGCGAATGGGTGGAAACGATCCGAGGTGTAGAGGTGCGGTTCCCATTCAAGCCCTACGACCTACAAGTTGACTATATGGGGAAGGTCATTGAAGCGCTCCAATTGGTACTGACCACGTGCTTTAATTCGTTGAAGTCCATTCGTTATATTTCTTCACTTTTTCTTTAGCGTGAGCATGCCGCGTTGGAAAGTCCTACGGGAACGGGAAAAACTCTTAGTCTCCTCTGTTCATCACTTGCCTGGCTTGAACAAGATCGTGCGAGAGCGATGGCTAACGCTAGCTTATTACCGGAACGTGTGACCGAGAATACTGATTCGATACAGTCCCGAGGGGGATTTGGAAACCGTCGCATATATTATGGATCCCGCACGCATACACAGTTGACCCAGGGAATATCAGAACTCAAGAGAACAGCATACAATCACGTATCTGCTGTGGTTTTAGCTTCAAGAGAACATTATTGCATTCATGAAGAAGTCTCGAAACTTTCCGACCATCGTTTGCAAAACATAGCGTGTGCTGAAAAAGTGAAAAATCACCTATGTTATTATCGCTCAAACCTGGACAAGGACATTCCCTCCAAAGAAGCTCTGAATGGTGTGATGGACATTGAAGACTTGGTCACGTTTGGGAAGAAATCCAAAGTTTGTCCGTATTATCTTTCGAAAGATCTTGCGCAGAAATCCAGCATTGTGTTCACTCCATACAACTACCTTTTAAATGTGAGCAATGTGAAAGACAGTTCAGAATTAGCTCACAGCGTTGTGATCATCGATGAGGCACACAATACGGAGCAAGTTTGCGAGGAATACGCATCGCGAGAAATAAAGCTCTCTGACGTGGCACTTTGTCTCGACGAAGTGAATCAAGTTCTGGAAAATTACGAGGGCTATGAGCAAGCAGTTGCGCTCAATCCAGTCATGAGTGGCGATGCTGCGTCGACGTTTACAAAAGAGGATTTGTTGATTCTCAAGCAGTCATTCGCGGAAATAGAAGAGGGCCTCATCGGCATTTCGGTTTCTACTGAAGGCTCAACCCTGCCAAACAACGAAGTTTTCAAGATTCTAGAAAAAGGAAAAATCACTGCTGAAAAGTATAAAATTTTTCAGAAGTTCTGCGTTGATTTACGCGGATTTCTTTCGAGCACTGCTGGAATGAATATGTTTAAACGACATGGGAATGGCGTTGAAAAATTCGCTGATTTCATCGAAGGTGTGTTCGCTTCGGCAGCCGATGGAGGTGAACAGTTTTTCAGGAGTTTTATCAAGTAAGTTGAATTCGTCCGTTATTCAGGTACAGTATTTTTCTCTTTCAAATTTATATTTTAAAAATATGTCCAGGTCGGAACAAATGAAGGGATTTTCCGCAAATATTCTGAAGAATGCCGCAGATAAAATTTTGAACGTTTGGTGCTTTTCGCCGAGCTTCACGATGAAACTGTTGTTAAAGCGTGATATCCACTGCGTCATTCTCACATCGGGAACGCTGGCCCCGCTGTCGGGTTTTGCTGCCCAAATGCGGATTCCGCTTCCCATCCGGATCGAAAACCCTCATATTATAGAAGACTCGCAGGTCTTTGTCGGCATCGTGAAAGAGGTGATCATTTTATTATACTGTATTTTTTAAATCGCATATTCAAATTGAAGTAAAGTAACTTGGCAAGGCTGCAGTAATTCCTTCATCTCCAACATGTAGTAAATTGTGTTTTCAAAGAGAAGAAAAGCGATGAATTTACAATTTACTGTGATACTTAAACCGTCTTTCATGAAATTTCATTTAATTGTAAATCGTATTTCAATGTGAATCATATTCACTTCACAATGAACCTCGAATTGTTGATCGAAAATTTCAGGGGTGAGGTTATAAAAACTTAAACTTTTTAGGAATACGCTGTGTCATTATCTGTTTGTTTTAAGCGATTGAATGCATGTTTTTCGTTCGTGATGAATATCGAATCATGTGAAAAACGAAAATAAATCCATACCGGCGTTACTAGCAAATTTTCGAATGTATATTCTGGTTCACGCTTCATTTTTTTCTGTTCAGGGTCCGGGAGCAGTGGGATTCAACTCCTCTTTCAAAACCAGAGATAATCCCGCGTACAAAAGAGCTCTGGGCTTGCTAATCTTGAACGTAGCAAGAAATGCGAATGGAGGTGTCCTGGTGTTTTTCCCGTCGTACTTCTTGATGGACTCCTGTCGTAAAGCTTGGGAAGAAAATGGAATGTGGAAAGCAATGACAGCAGTGAAGGTAACTTGGCATAAACCATAACCAAGTGTGAAATGCCCATATTAAAAGTGAAACACGAAGAGTGAAAATGTGGAGCTCGAGCTGAATAAACTGAATCATTGATTAAAATACAGCACTACATTAAGGTTTCCCCATTAATGGAAAGTTCGGGAAGCGAGCTATCTTGAAAACCATACGATTTTTCAAGAGGGGAACAAATGAATTTTATTGTGATGAAAATATCTTCAGCGGGTGTACATGGAAACTCGGATGCGGTCGGATTTTACGACAACAATGAACGGTTACTACGAGGATATCCGTGAGAGAAATGGAGCAATTTTTTTGGCTGTGTGTCGCGGGAAAGTATCCGAGGGTTTGGACTTCGCCGATGCAAATGGACGAGCAGTAATTATCACAGGAATTCCATATCCTAATTGGCAAGACTCCAAAGTCAAACTGAAACAAAAATTCCTTGATGACATGCACTCGAGTTCAAGTGACGAACATGTGAGTGAACTGTCATTTGTCTTCGGACTCTTCATCTGTGCTTTAACTGATCGAACGTATGGTCCGTTTGTTTTAAATTGCCACCTGAGTGTTGGTACAGTGCATGCAAATTTCTGACGGCTTTTACTAGTTCTGTCTTGACAATATAGTCTTCTGAGTGGAATTTCCTGTTACTGTATAAACTTGTAACTGTATAAAGTGAGTTTTCGCTATTTTTGTGCTCAAATACAGTACTGTAAAATTGTAGATGAAACTATTTTTATAGGAATTCCCTCCATATGTATACTGTACTGTATTTCTTCTATTTTTTGGATTGATTTAATTTTCAAAAAAGGATAACGAATCTTTTTCAGTGGTAGGATGCAGGAAGTTTTTTCTAAAATCTTTTCGGAAAATTACTTCATTTAACTTTGGGCGTTCAACGCATTCTAAAAAGTGATTATGTAAGTAGATTTTTGATTTTGAAATTTCTAAAATTGTGGTTTTTCAGGGATTGACAGGACGTGAATGGTATTCTCAGGAAGCTTCTCGTGCTGTCAACCAGGCGATTGGGCGAGTAATCCGTCATGCCAACGATTATGGAGCTATTATCTTGGCGGACTGTCGATTTGCTGACCCAAATTTCATAAAGAATCTCTCTTCCTGGGTTCGACCGCGGATCAAAGTTTGCAATGACTTCGGATCGGCGATATCGGGCATTGTTAAGTTTTTCAAAGCGGCAGAATCGGTGAGCAGCTTGCTGTTGATTGTTTGAAGTAAAACATGAATGCATTTGGAATATTCGGTGGTATTCTGGGATGAAATTTTTTAGTTGACCAAGTTTCTGTAACAGAATACACTTCGAATGGTTGTGCTCACGCGTCAATAATTTTCTTTAATAACAGCTAATGACTTGAGCAACCTCTAACTCGCAGATTAAAAATTGTTGTCAACCCTCACGAATGCATAAATAACATAAAAATCGCCGAAATCGAAAGAATTTTTCTGTCGAGCATGGTTTTCAGATCACTGTCACTTAATTTCGCTTCAAAAGTTTTAAGTGATAGGCTGACTGCCTATCGTTACTAGTGGAAACAAATAAAAAATGTGTAGGCAAATATTCAATCTAAGCAATGGGAAATCTCAGAGGTTATTTTGTGTATTTCATTTTTTTCTGGCAAAAATTGGCATGGTGTTCAGGAAAATAGTCAGTTATTCAAGTTAGCAAACTTGCCAGAAAAATAATATCACTAAATTTCGAAGTTACTGTTAGCAATTTTTTCAAATATTATATCTGCGACCATTTAGATGATATTGTGAAACTGAATTAAACTTCGTTAATCTTTTGTGTTACTATTCTTTTTTAACCAAAGTTCAATTGTGCATGACGTAATACAGTAGCAGAGCGTATTTATCTCTTTTCAGAATCCCCGGCTGAAGAAAACAACGGAAAGGGCATACGCTCCTCCACCGGAACGAACGATTCCCACAGTCAATTCCGCGTTGATGCCGGACATGCCGACAAAAATGGTGTCCAAACGTTCACTTTCGGAAATCACTACGCGGCCCAGTCATTTTGGATATTCCTCAAGGGGAAACATGGCTGCTGTCGCCCGCGTTCTTGCATCGGGAACTCCAGATCGGAAGTTACTTGTTGACAATATTTCAGATCAAGGACAAAAGAAGTTGAAGCTTGTTCCGAATGCAGAACAGGCCGCGGATGATCTGAAACGGGATGAGGATGAGAAACGATTGGTCGCATCGACGAATTATTTGAGACGGGTAACTACGTAAAATTTACTGTATTGCTCGTGACACCAAAACTCTAATGATGTGAAAATTCGAATTTTCTGATGCCCTTTTAAATCCGGAGGACTTTTCAGGCGATACATCGTAAGATAATCTAAGCAGAACATTTGTACAAGTACGCTGTATAGTTGAAATCAACTCTTGAGAAACTCAATTTTCGCGAATGAATAAATTTGAAATTATTTTCCTGACATCGGAATTCGACGTTTGCCTTTTTTCATATGTTCCAGCTAAGAACCGAACTTGTGATTGAAGACTACAAAGCTATTGCCCTTGCCATGCGGAATTTCAAAGAAAATAAACGTTTGGATGATCTTGTGGACGCTTTCGACTCCATTCTTCTTGTGAAGTATAACCTTCCATCGTTGTTCATGGGTGAGGATAATTTTGTTCGATCATTCCTAAACATGAATTTCCTATAATTTTCAATGTTTTTGCAGACCTCAAAATATTCCTCGGCGAGAAGGAGCAGATAAGCTTTGAACAATTCGCGCGGGAACGCGTTGGACCCTCTGTTGTGAAATCGGGAATGGGGCTGTGATCGTTTTCTTCGTATTTTTCACATATTTCGTATTGCTCTTCGTTCGGAATTAATTCCGACTCGATTGGATAATGGAGTTCGGAAACTCAATTGGCAAAAACAATTATGACTCTCTGAAAAAATGTTATTCCTTTTTCGCAGGAGAAGTGGTACCTTTTTTTCTTTGTCGAAAATGAGTTACCAGAGTCCGCATACTGCGCGCGGCCTTTCCGTCGGTGAATATTCAGAAGATGTAAGTCCGTTTTGTAGATTTTGGTGGAAGAGTCGTTTGGGGTATTCGCCAATGCCTGTTTTCCTTGAAGCCTTACCTCAGATGCATTTTAAAGACTTCTTTTGGTATTTTTTATGTTAAGAAATTTTATTTTCCCGGAAGGCCATGAAAGTTGTAGGGAAACTCGAATAATGAGAAACCTTTCGAATGCGGTAATAAACATAACTAGTGTTTTTTTTTTTTTAATGGATGTAATAATGTACTTTGGGGCACCTTCGAGTCAAACATGAATGAGGAAAAGGGACGAACTTCGGTATGGGAAAATTACTCTAATTTTACGAATGAAAACGAGTCGGATTTGGCCGAAGTACCGAATTTTATTTTCTATTTTTTGAATTATATCTGGCAGGGAGTCAACAGATCGCTATCACGTTCAGCCAGCGATGCTGGAGGAAATTTAGACAAGTCTAATGGTCCCGAGGACGGGAGTTCCGTAGACGTTCCTGATGCGAATAAAGGAGATCTTGAGAAAACTCGCCAGATCATCCGTAACCTGGAGGACAAGTTCGAAAAAATCATGGCGAAATTGGCTCAGGAACAGAAAGATAAAGAAGGTTTGTCTTCTAAACAATGTCTGTTATTACGACGCAACGATACCGTGCATGCAATAGTAGAAACGAAAGCAAAAATTTCAGTTTGAATTTTTGGGCTCGTATATCGTTCATTTTTTCCTCGTGGTATATTCGGCTGAATTTCTGGATTTTCTGATGTTAAGGCATTTCTGAAGGGTCGACGCCAATTTGCTTCAGAAAATGCATGAGTACCCTTGCATTTGTTCTCAAATACCGTAAGTGGATGAAACAGTTGAAGCCAAAAAGATAAAATATTGTCGAGCGCGGAGAAAGGCATCGGCCCCTTCGTTTTGTCGCTTACATTGTTTCCATCTTCGGTTAATATTTCGCCTGATTTATACTAGATAACCTTTTTCATTTTAATTGCATTTAATTGAGTAACTATTTGTGCCACGAAGGAATTCGAAATACTAAAAGCATTTTTTGCTTTCTTCAGAAAATGTCCAAGATTATTTGCAAGCGCTCGTGTCTGTCACCGACAAGCACCAGCAAGAAGGCTTGAAAGCCATGTTTGAGAAGCGGAACAATAAAACTTCGCAAACTATTTGGCATTTGCAACGCAAACTCGATTCGTATCAGAAACGAATTCAGGAATTGAGAAATAATGGTGCTCCTGCGAAAGCCCCCGGTCCTAGACAACCAAAAGAAGTTCTGCGTGATGTTTCCTCTGGCCTGAGGTGAGACACTATTTTGTTTTACAAGTTGCCCTCTTTTTACACAGGACAGCTACTCGAGGTGAAGCTACATTTTTGATGGAAATTCGACTTTTTGAATCCCTTTTTGCTCCTTTAAAACGAATTTAGGCTGTTCATAGTCTTCGGAAAATTTTCGCATGACCAGTGTCAGATTTCTGATGCATGGAATATTGAGTCTACATTTTTTTTTAATTGAAAATACATATGAAAAATAACTGAATATTTTGCACGAGTAGCTGTCCTGTGTTAATAAGGGGAAATTTTTCACTCCTAAAGTGAAAGCTGTTCTTGACCCGATGTGTGTTTTTTTCTTTCCCCACATCAATCATGCAAAGACATATGAGCGGCAACATCAAGGATGGTATTACCGGATTATCTGGGCAAGTTTTTTTTTCTTGAGTAGCTTCGTCACGTTGTGAATTTTGAATTTTACTCGCATGCCCAGTTATGTGTTGGTGGGAATTATTTTTTTTTCTAACCAATTCGGTGTCGGCCTGACGAACAATACAATTCTGGTGACTACGCCTTGTAGTTGAAAAATATTTTTCTTCGTTATAGAACCGTCATGTCGAAACCAAGAGAATTTGCACACTTGATCCGCAACAAGTTTGGAAGTGCGGACAATATCACTTCTATGCAGCAAAGTAGAACGGTGTTCTATATAGGCAAGTTACTTTAAACTATTCATGAGTCACATTTGAACGAATTTGACGGATGTATCCCGAAATGTATTAATTAGATGAAAGCCCGAGCTCGGAGGGGAAAGAAAGACACGGAAGTTCCACGTTGCCTGCACGATTACATCCTCCACGTGAGGGTGGTGGACAGAATGCAGCCGGTGACCGAGAAGACTGGAGGGGTAAAACAGTTTTCCGAATTTTTTGGGAAATTACGAACATGTCAGGTGCACGAGGACGTGGAACATAAGTGATGAAAACGCACACAGTTAACTAATATTGTAGCAGTAGCTTTCAAAAATGTCATTTGACGACTTCTCCAGATAGGGAAACGTCCCCAAAGATTCTTGAGTTCTTTGAACGAAATTTTCCCTGTCGAAGCTCAGAAAAAACGTAACGTTCTTCGTGTAGAACTTTGCTTATGCTTACCTGTGTGACGGGTGTCCTCTTCCAGGAAAAGGAAAGCAAATAGTGAACGAGACTCATTTTATCGATTCGGAACGTCTTTCGTGACATTCATTGACCTTTTTTTTTAAATGACGGACGGAATTTTCACGGATTCTTCTAGGGTCAAGCGGTGCTGTTGGAATGTCGGAAGCGCAGGCGTCAGTAGGCGCAGAACTTCGTGCCGATGATGGAAGTCTGCATTCGGACGCCACGTCTTCCCACGTAAATTCATCCCCTTCAAAGCTGCTTCACATCGGCAGTGCTGAAGGCGGAATTCTTCATGCCAGTGAGCTTTTAAATGATTACCACGCACTCCGGATCGGTCTCGAACAATTGCGTGAGGAAGTCGTTGAGCACATGGTTACGCGCGTGAGTTTTATTCCAGCTCCTGAAACACATTTTTTTGTAGCGATAATCTTGATCTGAAGGTCTCTGAAATACTTCGACAATCAGCTTCTTCAGGTGTTCAAATGTTGCTGCCAGTTTGTTTAATTATACTGTTTGATGGTTTATTCAACACTAAAATGTGTGAGCAGATTTGTGAATATAATCCGTATTTGACATTAGTTTAAATTTATTTTCTGTCATGCTGCAGTAATCATTTAAAAATGGAAAATCGCAAAAATTAAAGTCCCCTGCACTGCATAAGTGAAACTTCGATTTTAATCTTGGGTTTATCGTCTTTTAGTTTTTCAGTGCGTCGCTTTTTCAGCATTAATTTCTGTTGTGAACAGCGGTTTTTTATTTGAAGTTTTTAAATCGGTGAAAAGTAAAACTATGTATGGATCTGTCGATGATTATTGATTTCTCTTTTTTTTTAACCGAAAAACGAACAGGCGGCTCACATTTTTTCGTAGAAATTTATTTTGGGCATGAATTGATTGTCTGATTCCTTGTACCAATTTTATTTTCCCTACTTTCAGAACCAGGAAGCAAATGAATTGAACAGCATGATATGGGAAGATAGAGCTCAAATTAACAGACACGAAGAGCAGTTGAACGAAGTCATAGACTTCCATCAAAAGTCAGTAGCAAACGTTGAAACGACCATGACGACAATGGAGGAGAGATTGTTGTACCAAATGAATGAACGATTTCGGGATTTACAAGAGCTCATGGAAGCATGCTCAAATCGGGTAAGATCTGGAGAAGAAAAATGCTTTTAGAGTCCTGGGAAATCAGAACAAAAAATCAATATTTTTTCGAAACGTTCAGGTGACGAGATTGGAGCATCAGTTGGCTCAGCATGCCCAGGTTGTTTCTTTTGACAACATCCAAAACCGACGTTTTCGAGCCGTTATTGTTCGACTGGTGAACTTTGGCCTTGGTATCCTGCAACTCGTACTTTTCACTGCGACAATCGTATCGGACATCGTTTCCCCGTTTATTAGAACCAGGTCTGTTGAAAAAGGGAAAAAATAATAATTTAAAACCCTCAAGCGGTAGAACCATTTTTTCTCCTTCGTCAATCAGTTTTTCAGTTGATGTTGACGGAATTGTTCTTGGAAAAATTAATTAAATCTTTGATTTGATGGGGAAATTCGACAGTAAATCGAAAATAGTCTTCCGTACATGAATTTTTATTGGATTCCACGTACAGGAATACATTTTTGCAATTCGAACTGATCAGCGAAGAGTTTTCGAAGAAGGCCACTATCAGTTAAAATCGTTGAAAAGTGTCATCCGTAATCGTCGTAATAAATTTGTTGCCACAGAAAAAAATCCACCTGCAATGATCAGGTTTTGTCAACATTTTGATGGACCCTGATTTTCAAGTGCTCTGGTACGACAGGTGTCTTATTTACGCGTGCAGCCCGTTCATTAAATGCAGTTCTTGTAACGCTGTTGGATGATCAGATTGTTCGAAGGGTTGTCGATTCGTGAAATTGTTCGAATTCTGAATCACGAGAGAAGAGAAATATGTTCGTAGTATGTCGACATTGTGCAAGTCGGATAACATTTTTGCATGAATGAAGGTTACAGGTACATTTTTTCCTCAGTTCTCCATGGAAATCAGACACCCGTCCTCTGATATTTTCGTAATGATCATAACTTGACAGATTCAAAAATGCAAATCTGCCAAGAGTTTATTTATTTATTATTTCATGTCCATTCTACAGATATCATCTGATAGTTACCCTGGTGGGCATCCTGTTCGCCGTTTTCGGGATGAACAAATGGTCTCAATGGACCGACGCGGTGCTAAAAATTGTGCGGAGAACCCGTACCACAGTACCTGTTAGCAACGCCTCGTCACCACCGTTGCCGGGTTTTTGCGCTGCAATCCGTGCTGCAGACGTGCTTCAAGCCCGTTGCCCCATTTCTGAAGAAACAAAGCACACTTTGAGCTCCGTCGCCAGCGCCTCGTCCACTGCACTGGTTGTGGGTCTGTGTTGCGCCCTTGTGGCCCTGGCGACTGTGGGCACTCGCAGTGCAAGGCTGACGATTGCTGTGGCAGTTGTGGTGATTGCGATGAGCGTCGTGCTTCCCTTGTGATGTATTTTTCTGTCCCCAGAAACAGATGGCATATTTTTATCGTTCCGGGAAAAAAGCAAATGGAACTGACTCGCTTGTATTTTTTGTATCCCACTTCTGGCTCGATTCTTGGAATTTCCGAATCTTATGCCGTGAAAATTTTCGTCAAGGTGCGCATTAATCGTCTAAGATATTTTGCTTCGATCGAATTCGTTGATTTAGCGGAAGCTATTCTGGTTTTAATTTTTCTCGACTCAAAAAAAAAAAAAAAAACAGGAAAGTAAAGAAATTCTGCGTTTCAGAATGCCGAAGAGCTGGAATCGCATGTTAAACTCCAGAGATTTGATCCAATTTCTTAGAAGATTAAAATCAACCAGTCACCAGTCATGTATTTGACGAAAGCAAATGGAACAGTGAGACTCAGTATCGTTAGCATTTTCTTTGCGCTCAATCTGCAAGCTGCGTCAAGGAATTTTGGTGGAGGATTCCTTCGAAAGTAAGGATTTTTTAGAAAGTGCAGGTATGTCAAATTTTCTGATGTTTTTAAATTATAGTTGAAATTCCATATCGTTGGCGTTAATAATTTGCTGACAAATCTGTCAAGTTGCATGCTCGGTTCCTTTCCAAAAAAAAATCGTCTCGAGAGGGAATCGATGGGACTTTCGTGCCTGATCAAAATAATTTTGCCTTGCGAGAAAAACCACGCTAAAAAAATATGACCGTGCTGCATTGAAAGTGCGGAGCACATTTGAATAGAGAGAAATTGTGGTTGCAAGTAGTGCAAGCAACGATTTTTTTTAGCCCTGAAGCTACCTCGAAGTTCTTCAAAATAGTTATTTCGACGACACGGGAACAAACTTTTTCTGTGATTATCTTCTGGGAGCGAAATTCGAATCTTGGTTGTAGTATTGTAAAAGTCCAAGCGTCAAGTTTATCTGATCCTGGTAAAATTCTTGATGTCGTTCAGCAACTTACGGGATGAGCGAATGACACGTTTTGCTTCAGAAGGCGCATGTTGTAATTTCCGTTTGTAATTTCCTCCATTTTAATCATCATTGCGCTTTAAAAATAAATACATTACTGTAATACTGTCGTTGAAAATTGTACAAAAACGCCGAGGTCGTTGTAATGACCATTTCGGAGAATTCAAGGCAAGTGCGGGAATTTTCGAAAACATCTGCATTTATGCGTCAGTCGGTAGCTGAGCTACTATGGAACCCAGCTTTGAAACGTCTAGTCTTGAAAGTGGTGGACATTCCTGCGGGTCTGTCATCGTTGTTGATTTAGACCCCCTTCCCATTTTCATCGTTTCGGGAGAATCTTGCAGTTGATTTGATGTCAGCATGTCACTTTCATTTTCTGTAACCGGCTCTTACGATTCAGAGATCGTTTTCTCAATTTAAAAAAAAATCGTGATCTCACCTGTGTCTCATTGCTCATTGTCTTGTTCCTAGGTATTTGGGCTTTATTGAGTTACAATTCCTTCAATTTTTTTCCGTTTTACTTCAAACTCGTCAGCTTATTCTGTTCACGGGAAAAGGTTTATTTTTGGGGTTGCGAAGAGATTCCCTTGTCAAGCTCCTTTTCGACGCGCTTGTCGTGGAATTCTCGGAAGAAAAGCAGGAAAAACGTGATATTTTTTTTCGATTCAGATGGTTAATTCTGAATTCTTTTGTATCCTTCGCGTTAGTGGTGAACTTTTGGGGATGCTACATGGGTTCAAACGTATGTACTGTATGCCGTTTCGATTTTTATTGACGTGCTCGCTTCCATGCTTCGACCTTGAAAGAAAAACCACTTAAGTCAATCAGTGAAATTTGCGTCCTCTTGATGAATGTGTGAAAAAAAAATCGGGAGTGAAGATCGGAATACTTAGCTGCTTGAGAAAATGAATTCGCTATACCTTCGAACGTGTGTCGTTCATTTACTTATTCCATGATATTGGGAAGGTTTGTCGACCGCCGTGATATTCTTGCGGACGGATACTTGAAACCTTGCGCACACTTGTGATCATACAATGGATTGTCTCAATAATGCAATTAATGAAAAAATTGGCAAGAAATCAATTCCACCAGAGCAAATTTTCGGCCAGGTGTCACCATCAATTCAACCATCATCACGCCTGTAATACAAACAGCATCTACAATTTGTGCATGCCCTTTTGTGCTCATTAATTGATGACGCTGACTGAGTCTGAACATTGCCGAAGTTTGGGCGCATATAAGCGGACTCTGTCGAATAAAATTCACGGGGCCAGAAAAGTTTTCGTAGATAATCCCTCTAACATGGGTAGAGAACCAATCAATCAAAAATTCGTTATGCGGAGAAAATCATTGGTAGAAAGTCACCTGTATGCTTTTTTGCCAAGGGCCCTGCGTGTTGCAGCCAGTTCGGATTGTATGCCGATTGTTATGGGAACCATTCGGAATACAGATTCAACTTAAACCCTGGAAGTACATTGCGTGAAGTCGTTAGACAGATTTATCATTGACCACGGTTCAGCCCTCACGTCCCATGCTGCCTGAAATGTGTCCTAGCCCGAGAACGGTAATACGCGTAAAACCCCTGTTTAGGTGTTCGGATAAGCGGGTATCGAATTAACTGTGAGGAAGGCATTGCGGACTAGAGTGGAAAATCGCACTTTTCATGATTTCGGTTAGTCGTACAACTGAAGCAAGCAATCGTGCTGTTGCATGAAGTCGTGAACTAGTTGATAGTGTGTGTAAGTAAGCAGCGTGAGTCGCCCAGGTGCATCGTTGTGAATGAGGTAACCTGCTACTTCAACGTGATAACTATGTGTGATATTCGTTCAGGTCGATGACATCATCCCTCAATAATTGAGTGGGATAAATCCCTTCTTTACTTTTCGCGAATCATCCTTTATTATCGAGTAGAAATTTAGGTATCGGCGAATCATGAAGACGCAAGTTATGGAGAACCGTCACAACCTGGCGAATTTCATTTTGAAGTCATCGGAGGGTTGTAATGCAGTTGGTGAGTTGAAAAGGTTAAGCTCAATGTAATCTGAGACTGTGACAGAATGCTGTTTATGCTTCGTAGAAATGATGGAGCCACCGGATCAGGTCAGGGGAGACGTACCCCTCTTAAACGTTGGATCTCAGCCGTCTAGCGTTTCCTCTGCTCCTTCTTCCGAAGATTGGCCGGGAAAACACAATTTCACGATATCTTTTAAAGAGAAGGGTAGTCAGAACGGAAAAATCCATTCCTGGCTGGTACGTTCGCTATTTTCCCGCTGATCTGTCGGATTTTTTCTGACTGATTCGGTCCGCTTCGCAGTGGTCCGAGGAGTTGCAGAAGCTTTTTGTCGAAATGAACAAGCCGTGTCCATTCGACGTAAAAGCTACGAACTGCTCTAATGAACAGCTGTACGTTCGTGCCCTGCCGCTGTATACAACCGCTACGAACGTTCTTCGAGTTGTCAAACGGTGCCCGAATCACGCGTCATCGGAAGATGCCACGAATATTGGTGAGTCTTTCATGTTGAATCTACTGTCAGAATAAGTAAACGCAATTTTTTTTATATAGATGTTAATGAAAACCTGAGGCATCATCTCATTCGAGCGGAATGTGGTTCTGCTGTGTACGAAGAAGATACTGAGAGCAAGCGCTTGTCGGTCAGGCTTCCTTTGGGTCGCCCAGAACCTGGCGCCAACTGGACTACCCTTTTATATAAGTTCATGTGCTTGGGTTCTTGCGTCGGTGGAATCAACCGTCGTGCGCTGCAGATCATCTTCACGCTGGAGACCGCTTCGTGAGTTCATAGACGTAATCATTCATCCTTCAAATTTTTATTTAGATAATGAAGTTAATTGAAATTTTTTTTAAAACTCTGTAGCGGTGAAGTGGTTGGACGGCAATGCATTGGAGTTCGCATTTGCGCGTGTCCATCTCGTGACCGGAAAGTAGAAGAAAGGAAGCTGGAAAGTTCGAATGGGGATTTTTTTTCTGGGATCCCTGCAAATCTTCATCATCTACCACCTGTATCGCGCAAGCGCAGTGGATCATTCAATTCTCATCCGAATCTGAATGCTACCTCCGCTACGCAACGGGAATTTTTGTGCGCCAAAGTTAAACCAAAAGTCGAAAATCCTGCCTTAGAAGACAACGTGTATATGATCAAGGTGCTGTTTTGTGCTTTTTCCACCTTGACGAGTTTTCTGACGAAGTTTCCTTCGCAGGTGCATTGCTACGCAAATTATTTGCTGTTGAAAGAAATCGCATTTGCCCTTGAAGTGAAGCAGCACGCGTCGGAAATGTATCCAACATTGATTGATGAAATAGTGCCAATGTTTGGTTCCAGCGACAACGACAGGTTTGTTTTGAATACAATTACTGTATTTTATAATATTTTAGAGCGACAATTGTCTCATACGTGCGAAAGTAAATCAAGTTTTGCTTCTTTGACGCCATTGAATTGTAGAGCCAAATTATGGAAGGGAACTAAAATATTCTTTTTACGCACAAGGATTTGTCTGCATTTGGTGAAAAATCGTTTCTTGAAAGAAAAAACCATCTGAAGAGCGATTATTCAGTGTATGTAGATAATCTGTAGTGGATGATCTTTTCTTCAAGAGCGCACATTAATTAAATCATGAGAAAGTGATTAAGAAAAATGAAATAAAATTACTTTTGAGAGTCAGGCAAAAAATGTTGACAGCATTTTTATTACATTCCTGAACTTTTTCTGCTCAATATATTTGTATGCTTATGTCTGACAAAGTCACGGTCTATAGCGGCGTGCGAGTAATTGCGTAACTGTATTGTTAAAATCGAAATTTATTCGCCTTCTCAATCAACCAAAACGTTCTACGATTATCACTGACATGATTATTTTATCTTACTTTTTTTTTCAGAATGAATGACGACTTTCCGGAGAAAGAATCTGCATGTATCAGACAAACTACCTCTTCAAGTACACCAACTTCATCCAATCCACCATCGGGATGCGTTTCTCCAGATTCGGATATTCCACCGCCATTCCCAACTCCTCAGATGCAGCCAATGCCGAATATGGGTTCCAAATCTTTGGAAGTCGAAAGAAACAAGTTGAAGCGTTCGATGACGCATTGCGCTTCTATGTTAACCCGTCCGCAGGCGTCTGCTCAGGTGCAAAACAAAAGGGTCTGTGGACTCCCTGAAGAAGGAAAAGGACACGAAAAGGAGAATTCTAGTTCGAAGATGCCGGTGTCCGATGGATTATATATGTTGGCTGAACAGGCGGACAAGATTGCCAGAGATCCGCCGAATATGGACCTACATTCGCGATGCACGTCTCCGGAGCCGGGTGTTCGTCTGCGTGCGTTTTCCATGTCTGCGACGGACAAAAAATACAGGGAACGCATGTTGCGAGTTCCTGCGATGAGGGTCAGTTTGTTCACTCGTCAGCATTTTTTTCGACATTTTCATTGAAGGAACTGAAGTACATATTATTCTCCTGCTTTCTGAATACCTTCTTTTTGAATACTTCAAGCCTCCCCTCCCTCCAAATCGTATGTTTCTAGAAAAGTTTGCTCCATTCTGTTCATGGAATGCCGAATAATTCTGCAAAATTACGATCATTACGGTATTCTGAAAATTCGAATGGAATAAAACGCCGCTATGAGAATTTCATGTTTCGCTAGGAAATTGGAATTGATTTTTGATGAATTAAGAATTAATTAACAAAAATGTATTTTTGCTAGTTTTTTTTTCATGGTTGCTTCTACTGGTGAATTTTTTATTTTATTTTTTTAAATATGGCGGTTTATGCAATTCATTGAAGCTCTCAATTCAGTAGACGTACGAAGAACCCGAACATTTTTTCAGGAATTTGGATTTGTTTTTCCTCAACGGAGTGAAGCTGAAAGAATGTTGATCGTCGAAAAATGCTTATTCAGAAACGAGAGTTTTTGTTTATTAAATTTTTCCTTTTCGAACAGTCTTGCCAGGTCCAAACGGATACGAACGGAGCAGTGCCACATGGACAGCCGTATAGTCAGCAATCTTCCCCACCGCCTCCCTTATATGTTTCCAGAATGAAAACGTGTCAGATTCAGCCCAATCATCAGCAGAGGACACAGGTTCTGTGTACTGGGCCTCCTGTGGCGTCTGGATCGCAAGGTCCTTCGCCAGTCATTTGTAACAATACCACGACGCTGAAAGAGTAAGTGGACTTTTGGTTCTTAGTTAATTCGGACGTTCAAGTTATTTTAAATTGAACGTGTTGATGAGATAGGTTAAAAATCAAAAATGTTTGATACCTCACGAGGGGAAGTATCCGCATTTATCCATATACAATACCGTACTATGTATCATCCCAGAGAAAAAACAATATCGGATGATTTATGCATAAACATTATTTTTCCGTGATGGAACCTTCTTTGTGTGAAAGAGGAAAGCTTTACCTGTTCGGTTGTTTGGCTTAGTGAAATTCGATCATGAGCCTGACGTGACGTTCAAAATTAAAACGAAATTTTTACTTTTTCTTTCAGGTTCATGGAGAGCTATGGTATAGGAGAGCTTTGGATAAAAATGTTCGAGAATCGGCCGAAGTACCATTCTTGGCCGGTCACGGCGTTTGCCTGTTGGAGTGAAGAAGACTTCGAATTTCTCGGGCTAGAAAAACGTCTTGCTCAGTTTCTGGTCACAAAGCTGGCGAACTACAAGTCAGCTTCTGAAAGCCTTCAAAACGGAACTTGACCTTGATAGTTCCTTCGGTGAAAGTCGAGTGTGTGAAATGATTGGAAGGGATAGGTAGTTCGCGTTATCACGGTTCACCTAAATATTATTACAGCCATAATGAGTTGTATTACTTCACGTCTCTTTACTGGATTTGTAAGGCAAATTTTACATCGATTGTATCGTTTTTCAAATTCAATTCCTTTAAATTTCAAATTTTCACCGATAAGTGAAGGGGATTGGTAGATATCTAACATGCATGTACGCGAAGCTTCAACATTGTTCGTGCGAAATGATTTCAGGCCAAAAAAGAAAGCTCAGTGATTCTCAGTTAACACGTTTCATGGGAATGTAATGTAAATACTCTAGGACCTTGCTAAAATTATTATGCACTCTTCACATTCTTTCCAAAATCCTCGATGCTTGATGGGCTTTTTTCTGTTTTGCTGAGGCAAAAATCATAACACCCTGTATATGGCAGCGATTTACAGTTGAGGATAGCACACCAAGAGAAAATAATGTGCGGGCTAGTAGAAGTAATCGAGGGAGTGCAATTCGACTGGGGCTTTGGATAGAGACTCGCTGCCATGTACATGCTACGTACTCGATTTTTTTGCTTCCAGTTTTAGCTATTACTTCCGAATGAAAAGAACTTTTCGTGTTTCAGGCGTTTTTGGGATTCCGAAACTCCCTGACAATTTTGAGCTTGTGCATGTGCTACGCATCTTTCTATGAGCAAAGACTAGTGGCTCCCAAGCCTGGATATTTTATAAATCGAAGGCGCCTAGCCAAGCATTCCAGTTATGAGTTCTTGGTTAGTAAAGACTTTACGGTGTGCTCGTGTGTTTGATTAGGATTTTTTTCGTGAATGATTCGATGAAAGACGGCTGATTTCGGTTTTTCAACATAAATCGTTTGCTATATCAGTCGTGTTGCTGTGGTAGATGTTGAGTCCGGTTGAACTTCCGTGAGTAAGTGTAAAATTGTGATTTTGATAATTGTCCCCACTTGTGATATCGTGTGAGTTCGTGAAAATTTCATGCTCACAAAAAATCCCTTTAAATTAGTTGATTCTGAAAGTTTTCTAATATTCTCTTTCCAAAAAATGAAGGTTCTCCCGGGTTGAACGAATTTTATTTTGGTCTGCGATTGGACCATTGGACCGAGTTCATCCATATCCGTCGTTCCGCGGGTTGCTCGTGTGCGCTGACAAAACTTCAGATCTGTTTTTTTTTCGTCTTTTTTCACTCAATTTTTCGATTGGAAATATTCGTTGCGATAGTTCGTTGGATCGCATAGAGAGAGATTTTTGGAAGGTGTGAATGAAGAAAAACGAAATCCTATCTTCAATTATTGCTTCAGCCTATTTTCCCGTGCTTGAGGCGAAGGCGTTGCGATCATCTCAGGGAAAACATCATTTTATTCACAATGCAACAAAAAAGAGATGAGAAAAATTTCACTGCCGTTTTAGGTAGGATTTTAAAAGTTCATTTCTTCAGGACTGAGGAGAGAACGCGTTTCTATTTCCTGGCTTAGGTCTTCAGCCATGAATTTTTCATTCGTCCTGATCTAGCGTAGGTTCTTTCTTGATAACTACGTATGGAAAAAGGGCAACATCTTAGGAAGGTTATTTTAATTTTATTCTGAAGCATGGCAAATTTTTTTGAGATTGAAATGGAGGAAATACAAATTTGAGGAGTAAACGTGGGAGGGGGTCTGGGGAGCGCGTCGTGATGAAAAAAAAAAAAAAGAATCATTTCAGTCGAATAAACAGCAAGTGCTGCGGGTTGAATTTCTGACGTATTTATTTCATGCAATATCGTGTTCGACTGTTAGAAATTGATGGAATTGTGCCTTTTTGACGTTTTGGCAGAAAAAAGTGGAGTAAACGAAATGGCTTCAAGAAGTGTCCTGATGCTGATGGGGAAATCCCGTTTACTGAACGCTCGCGTCGTTTCGGATAACGCGAGGTATGCAAATTTCCGCTTTGATTTTAACTTGGATTCTCGACCTTTTTCTTCTGCACTTCCGTTATTTGTTCTGTTGTCAGGCTTCTGTCAACCGCAAGTCCAGGTCTGACTTCGGCGCCCACTTTTCCGAAGCGCCACGGTCAAACAGCGACCAAAGATGAGCGTAGGGAATTTATGGGAATGTTTCCCGACATAGTTCGAGATCTGACGGGTGACCCGGAAAAGAGAAACCAGGATGTAGAACGCTGGTTTCACAAGGTATGTGCCACATCATGCGGAACCAAGTTATTACCTTCAAGTCTGGAATATTTTATTTTTGTCGCGAAACCCCGAGTTAATATTTGGATGAAAGTAATTAATTCGGTGAGCGCGTCCTTCAAGAACACTTGAAGGAATTTCCTCCTTGAATAAGAAGGTACAATATTTTAAAGGGTTTTCGAATTATGTCAAGTGGCTGTGCATCCTTGTAAATCTTTAGAATTTTGACAATGCCCTCGAACCCGTTCGGAACGCATGAGATGTTTTTAAGCTTTGTTTTTCTTGTTCCAGTTGCACTTTTGATGAATTTTCTACTGCGATAACTTCCGAAATTTATTCAATGGAGGGAAAAAGCTGATGAATTTCTCAAAAATAAGCGGTTTATTACCTCAAGTCAAATACGTATAGTGCGTGTTCGTGTGTTAGACTTAAATGAGAGGCCCTACATTAGTGGTGCTTAATCGATAGGGTGAACCTACACGCGCTTTTTTTGAAGTGGCTCAATGCACGAAAGATTCGGAAGTTGTTACAATTTGATCACGATTTTGATTTTTTATTTATTTTATATTGAGGACGTACAGAATTCTTTTTTGTTCCTTCGATCAGGTCCTGCAGTTTAATGTTCCCTCTGGAAGGAAAAGCCGTGGATTGGCTGCGGTCGCCTCATTTCGTACCCTCGTACCTCCGGAGGAAAGAAGTGAAGAAAGAATGAGGAATGCCTTGATTGTGGGGTGGTGTGTAGAACTGGTGCGTGTTATAAGTTTTCATTTATAAGATGTAAAATTTTAAAAATTATCTTATTATTTTAAAAATTATAATGCTTTGCGTTTGCAAATTCGATTCCGGTTTTCGCTTTGTCGAGTACATGGTCTTCATTTCATTCCTCGCCTCTGATGGTATAGATTCATAACGTGTTCGTCATCCAAGATGACATTGCGAAAGGACGGCAAGTGCGCCGAGGGCGGTCATCGTGGCATAACATGGACCATGTTGGAGTGAAGGCCATCAACGACGCTCTGATGCTAGAAAACAGCATGTACTTTCTTCTCTGGAAATATCTGCGGAATGAGCCGTATTACATCAAGCTTGTTGAACTATTTCATCAGGTGAGGCATTTCTTTCTCACCCGTGTTCTCAGGAGGTACAGAATTCACTTGTAAGACAAGTGTCAAGGTGAATTACTTGAAACTTGGTCTCAATCTGTTTCTTTTTGCTTCAGATTGCGAAGTAATTTTGATTGTTGGAAAATATTATGCGCGAAAATCTATTTATTCCTATCCGAGTGTTTTTTTTTCATAAGTGTTTTCGCAATTATTTTAAACAATTCATTTCGAGAAGAATGCCGTAACTGTAATCTGATATTTTTGTCTTTCTCATTTGCAGGTGGCATTAAAAACTTCCGCCGGACGTACACTCGATGCCCTCACCAACAAGAAAGACGGTACTCCAAATTTCGAGAAGTTCACCATGGACAGGTACATGCGTCTCATTCGAAACAAGAACGCTTACTACACGTTTTTGCTCCCTATGGCCGCCGGAATGTACGCCGTGAGTATTCCTTGAATTCATACTGTATTGCTGGTTGCAATAAATCTGGTCCCCCTTTATTTGGGAAGAATAAGTTTCTTCACTTGCAAAGAAGGGTGGACTTCGAAGCTCTTTACATCACTTCTGGCTTGCAGCTATTTTGTGTACCTTACTTTTTTTTTTCTCATCAGGCTGGTGTGCAAGCTCCGGAACTTCATCGTCAGGCAAAAACTGTCCAGTTGGATATCGGCGAATTCTACCAGATTCAAGATGATTTCCTGGATTGTTTTGGCGAAGGTGTCGATATCGTCAAGATTGGCAGCGATATTGAAGAAGGTCGTATCAGCTGGCTTGCCGTGGTTTTCCTCCAGCGAGCCCCTCCGGCATTGAAAGAAGAGTTCATGGTTTGTATTGTTGCCAACTATTCAAGAATTTTATTGACTTGCAAATTTGTATGCATAATTATGCATCGACAATTACCGTTTCAGAAAAATTACGGGAAGAAGGAAGCAGAATCCGTGGCCAAAGTGAAAGGCCTTTACGAAGAGCTGAAACTTCACCAACTCTTCGATGCTTATGAAGAACAAAACTATCGTCGCCTGTATGATGAAATACAACAATGCTCGCTTGGCGTTCCGAAAGGTCTGATGATGACATTCCTCGAGAAACTGTTCCGAGGCTAAGTTGAACCACATCACTGTGCTCATTTGTGAAAACGTTTTGTGAATGTTATTCCATCTCTATCGATGCTCTCAGCCCTGTTTAGTTCCATATTCATGAGAAAATTTGTAAATTGTAAGGTCTTCATTGAACAGAGAAACTTGTCGGGCTCTTGTAATTCTGTGTTCATTTGTTGGGCTTACTGCACGCTAGGTGAAGTGCGTGTTTGCTGTGTTGCTCACGGGGTTGCTGATTGCGATGGCTGAGGAGCTTTTAGGAACTAACTACAGTATAGGGTGGCATATTTTTAACCATTAATACTCGTGGCGAAGGTTTTTGAAATTTGTTGCAGTACTCGGAAACATTGGTACTAATTCTAGAGAAAAGATCTTCGATTTGATTTAGGAAATTTTAGTTTTGAATTTATTCAACCAAGAGACTAAAAAGCTAGGTGTTTCTCATTGAAATTGCTGATGCCTGCTTTTTCAATTCCCTCCGTGATTGTTTCGATTGATTGAGGCATTCTCCGTTCTGTGGGCCTCGGGCCGTGGGGGGCATTCCTCGTTCTTTTTTGGAAAATGTTTGTGATTCAGTGTACGAATAGTGAAGTTTCAGTGTGCGACATGATTTGAAGGAGTGATCCAATTTTTGAACAGTGAAGCTTGATGGATGGCATGGATTTGAGAAGCTTCACGATGTAGAAGTATCTGGGGAATATCGTCGTAAACCTCGATCAAATGTGAATTTGCATATGAGGCCGGAAGTTGCGCAAAATTCCGCGTGCCGCTAATAGTTTGTTATCGCAAAGGAAAATAAAGCTATAACTCGAAAGGAGGAATTTAAAGGGAAAGAAATATTGCTGCTGTAATGTGCGTGAAAACCGACATGTGTTCCGAACTGCTTCGGTGACGTTTCCGTTCTTCCTTCGAGGGAAAGTGAGATATATCCAATGATTGAAATCGTTACATTTGCTTGTACAACATTTGTGAACAAACTCCTGAACTACTGGTGACTACGTGCAGATTATATTAAAGTGAGATCATTCTGAAAAATTGTATCGTCATTTTTCAAGCATATCTCCGATTTTTGAGTAAATACGATGTATTTAACCGAAATTCATCCGGAAGATTACCGACACCTCATGATTACTTATGCTATTATTAGTTCGATAAATATTTACACGTACGCAAAAATCTTCGCAAATGTATGTGCCGTATTGCTTAATTCAAGTTGAGATTCGTTTGTTGAAGCTGGACTTCCAGCTTTTCATCCTTAGGTAATCCCAAATTTCAGTCGTAAATGTTGGGTTAGTTCAATTAGAATATCTTTGATTAATATAGGTTATGATCATACATTTCAGGTCAGTAATGACCATTTTTTAGCTCAGAATAATGAGTTTAGTTAGTTCCGAACATTTAAGTTACCGATTACTGTTCGGTTAACTTGATCTGATATCAGTAACCTGAAGTACGACCAAGGGGTTGTTTCAGATTATGCGAGTTAACAATACATTCGGATTGAATCGCATAATTTATTTATAGATCAGGTTCAGTTCGTTGCTTTCCAACTAGTTGTGATGGATTTTTGGTTTTTTCAGATACAGTATGTTGAATTTTTTATGCTCGCTCTATGGTCGAATCAGTACTAGTACTTCGTGTCGGCGTGATGCGTATTGATGGATGGTGTTCTTCGTCTGCAGTTTTTCTCCCCTTTCATCATTTGCAGATGAGTGAAATACGTGATTTTCGAGACGATGATTCTGAGAAGTTGTCTATTGAAGATCACGATGATGTTTTTGGCCACCCCCCGATCAGCATTGAAGAAGCAAACGATCATGGAAGTTCAATATCGAATTTCGACGAGAGCAAACTTGAAGAAAATGTAGGGGTTATCGAGAGCACATTCGCCTTGCCGTCAAATCGTCGGCATATTGTAGGTACTAGTCAAGATAATGATGGAAACGAACAACGAAGACGTGGGAACCCGGAAGTGGATAAAAATGTGTTCAGTGATGAGATCCAGATGCCAGACTGGAAAATTGAAACGCTGGAAAAAGCAACATGGAGAATTCAGCACGATTCCCCCCGTGCCACTTTCGTGCTTGAGGAATCTATCGCAAATCCCAGGAACGATATTGATATTCATGAAGAGCCGCGTGGATCTACGAATATTGGACTTCCATTGACTTTCGATGATTCGGGCTTAGGTGGGGCATCTTTGAGAGCATATAGGATCTCTGCGAGTGATGCAGACTCGCATTCCGATGCTCCGATTGAAATCTTTGACCAACATGGAGATTTCTGTGCACTGCAGCAATCATCTAGCCGGCAGATTGAGTTTAATAGCGCCCGGGAAGGTTGTGTTCCCACAGCCGAAGTTTTTGAAGCTCATATTTCGGTTGCAATTGATGAGCGAGAAAATTTGTACCAGGACAGTTCAGGTATTCGAAGGAATTTACCGTCAAATGGATGATTTCTAAAATACTGATGCAAGAATAAAATGTACGCTACTCGTATTGTAGTAAGCTTGAAATGATGTTCGATTTGCTCAAAATTGTTGATCCAAAATTAGATTGACATACCGAACGAGAATCTTTGTGCGCACAGGATTTTTATTATGTCAAATAATGGAGATAATTATAAATATAACTGAAGACTGTAGAATAAGATGTCCCGCGATTTCGTAAACACGATTAATAACTAAGCTGAACTGCATGTTTTCTGTGAACCCCACGGGATTATACGGAAAAAATATTGGGATTGAATTTTACTCGTCTTTATTATAATACCGTTACTTTCATTATGAGTGGATTCTTTGTAAGATCATACGCGGGGGATCGAAATGTTATTCATCCTCTAGTTTTGTCAAGGAGCGCGTCTTTACACAGATACAGTAGAAGTTGACAAGGAACGAAAAATTCGAAAGCGCACTACTGTATAATACCACATTAGACAAATCATTTTGCTCGCATACTGTATAAATAATTCTCGAGAAATTATTTTCTCAAAACTATGTTTTAAGCGTATGAAATACTCAGTTTCGTTTCTCAAATGAACGGTGTTCCTATAGAATATATTTTTTTTAAATCTTCCCTGAATTTCCACGAGAGACGATGCAATTGTTCTATTGCCGTTTTGATAATAGCTAATGGATCTGCGGTGGATATCGAACGGACTTGTTCGTTGAACGGTCGCATCCGCGATTACGATGACAATGGTGATGCAGTAAACAATGTCTTCGATCAGGAAAATCTGCTCAAAGTTATGATCGAAACTGAACGCCATGCAGTTATCCCCAAGAATGATCGTCGCTTCAAGAAGTGGAAAATGCTGTAAGGGTCTTCTGTCAATTTTTCATTTGTCCCTCACCCTTCGTTCAATGAGTGGAACTTGGGATTGAAATTGAAGGTCGGCAAAAAATGTAATAAATTTTTACTCAGTTTTTTTACGGCAGTAGTAAAAAATGGCAATTCCAGGATTCAGAGAAAATGTGTTCGTAAATGTGGATGATGAACCCTCGTACGAGAAAACCCTCGTATTTATACTTGTCGTTCGCGAACAATAAACTTTTCTTTGTATTTTGTTTTTACAGTCCAGCATGTGGCTCCGACTGCCAGCAAACTATCCAAAGATGGTTAGCGGAAATGAATTCAAAAATCTTCCACAACGGGACTAAGGCGAAGCGACGCCGGTCTCAACCCGTGTTGAAAATCCAGGTGATCAGTTCAACTCTGCGGAACAGGATTTGCATAATTAGGGGAAATTCTGGAAGCTCAGACGTTCTTGCTTTGGTTTATGAGCCGATAATCGACTTCGACATTCGTCCAGGTTCTGTTGTTGTCTTCGATGATTTCTTGTGAGTTGCCTCTTCAAAAATTCGAACACTTTAGATGTGCTCATATTTTAAAATCGTGAACCTTTTGTTTCTAAAGTCTGCCTGAATTAAAAAATAATTCCTGTACACTTCGTGTGTAGTTGTTGATCCAGTTGAAATTTTGTGGCTAGTTTATTTTAATAGAGCACTGAAATAAAAGATATTGCGACAGATCTTGAGCAATAAAATAAATACAGTACTGCAATTTCAAAATTAAAATACAGATAATTACTCGTAGATGAATAATTTTGCTTCTAATTTTGTTACAGATTTGGCTTTCGAAACATTTTGATGCAAACACTAATATTTACGGGTTTAACTTTCGGAACTGCACAGGATTTTCTTTTATCAAATCAGCTTCCTTCTTTTAGAGATGTCTAAAATTATATCTTTTTGGCTTAGGATGGACACATGGTCTTTGTTCTTCCTGTTAGGACTGAACACGTTTTTGGTTGCATGGATTCAACACTTTCGCTTCTAGAGGATAAATTACTTTCTTGGAAATGCGCAATCGAACCACCTCTTCCATAAACCAACCCATTGATAGAACTATAGTTATGTTGGCAATGAGTACAGCACTCAAACGTTTCTTTGACGACCGTCCCTTAATTTTCAGAGAATTATCCTCTGAAGAAAGGGCAGATTTATGTGGAAAACCAAGATCCGTACGAAGTTTCCTTGTTTTTGCTGTTTCTTCGGACACTGAACCGCCTGTGCGGATTAAAGAACAGCTTCGGTATATAACGTTCAACCTTCGCCAAAATGAAGAGAATACCTGGAAATTTATAGATTCTTTATATCATCGGCCGTTTCATGATAACCCAGAACCCATGGATATGCGAGGAAAAGAGAAGAAAAAGTGGTGCTTGAGGTGAGCATTTTTTAGTTTGATTCGTCTGCGATCAGAAGTTCAGAACTGTAAGTCTGCGCAAGAAACCTAATGAAGCATGTTTTATGGAAAGAAATTACGGTTTAGGATGCATTCAAGAGAGTTGCAGAATGCTCTTATCATCCGTCCATCCTAATGTTGGTGCCGAAAAATATGCGTGGATGAGTGCATCGTATTTTAGAGGGATGATTCCTGATTCGAATCAGGTGTTGCAAATCGACGAAATCGATCAGTAAGTTTCTCGTGAAGGCTTTCTTACATGAAATGTGCTCACAATGTGTGATATTTAAAAAAAGGCATGATCATGAATTCGGGTATTTCTTGAATCATGAAGAACTCGGGTCGTCGACTGTGAACATGTTGGATTGCATGGACACAATGTCATTCGAGGCCGAATCTTTCAAGGTACTGTAATTTCAAAAACAAATACGCACCGTTAACATTTTAAATTCCAGTGGCCACAACTCCTTTTGTCTCATAGGAACTCAAATTGACAGGACGCAAGAGAATCATTGGAACTGTGATAATTGAACGTTTGGAATTCCTGGTATTGCTTTGTGGTACAACTGTGATTCGCGTGGACTTGGAATGGCCTTTGGTGGTACCTTCGGCGATCCGAAATTATCGCATCAAAATTGAACATGCTCTGTGCAGATCTCGAGGTAGTCACAAGAAATAGGAGAGTAAGTTCTTAACAAATGACATTTTTTCTTCATTATTCGCAGATATTTTCGCGGTGGACGATTGTTCTGTTATCCAGATCGGTCATATTATGAAGCCGAAGTTAACGTTTTTGAAACCCTTGGCTGGAGATTTTCTGAGAGAAGGAAGATTTTATTCAATTGAAGGTAAATTGAATTCAAGACATGTTTTATTCATGCTTCAAGAAAATTTTCCATTCCGTCCAGGAAAATTAACGACGTTCAACTTCGGTTGCCTGAACGTTTCAACGGAATGCCGCAAGTCCTTCGCGAAAATAGAGAACGATGCATTTGATACTAATGAGATTGTTTTCATGGAGTTGAACGAGAACTTCGACAAATATTTCTCAGAGCCGATTGTTACCAATTTCAAGGTGTATATTGCCAGTGTTGATAGTTTGCCATATTGGAACAAACGCCTTGTGAGATGCTTGAATATACTGGAATAATTGATACTAAATTGTGTCTCTTACTACTGTACCACCCGCACATCAATCCTGGAAAAAACCACATCCAACCATGAGAGTTGCATTAATACTGTACGCAAAAGGCGCATATTGCAACTGACAAATTCCATTGATTTTAAATCGCAAGATCTTTTGAATTCCATTTGAAATCCTGAATACTGTAAAATTCCATTACAGTACTATAAATCATCTTCTTGGTCACATCAGTATATCCATAGGCGTCATGATATCAAAACATTGTTCAAATGAAATCACTTTGAACAGTGATCTCAATACTGTAAGATAAATTTTTGGTTACATTTTTGTGCATATGCCATATATACAAGAGAATATTTTGCAGCAAATTCAGCTGAAGATTATCCCAGTACGCTGAACCATGTATTACAGTAAAAACTCCGATCAACGGGCCATAAAAAATGCGATTAAATTTCACTTTTTTACCAAATGCTCCCCAGCTCTCAGATTTCGATAGAAATTGAATTTCATGAAAGCATTCATACGATTAGTAACATCGCAGACAAGGTTCTGAGCTTTCAGAAATTACTTCGGTTCTGCTCGGCGAGATTACTCTCCCAAAATGTTCTCAATTACAAAACGTCCCATGTCGCGAAAAATTTCCCAAGAGAATCGAAAGCTTCCCTTTTGAGTGCGACCACCTGAAGAAACTGGACAGTCTGACTTTGCTTTCAAAGAATGGAGAATCTGTTTAATGAGTCCCGCCAGCGAGTGATCGTTATAAAATAGGAATACAAAACTGCGTGACAAAGGTGAAGGCCCGAAAGAGTAAGGCACGGTTTCTCTCCAGTGATCAGTCATCCTCATCAATCTTCGGAGCTAAGTAGTAACGAATGTGACCGAATTCTCCAATTTTGTACTCGACGACCAATGGAACATCCGCAGAGAGCGACAGCTGAACCTGCAAAGCATGAGGCACAGGTAACAAATGTTAAGCAAATCGACGCCACAAATAACCTACCTGTTCGGACAAAGGTGTCGCTTTCGTGAAGTGATTCAAATATCTGCATGCAAACGTGAGCGAGACAGGCTCTTGCATCTCTACAGTGACCGCTTCAGATTCCTTATCAACGTTCGCTGTTTGCGCAAGTTTGACATTACCGGTTCCTATGTCTCCAGCAACAGAAAACTTTATGCCCTCCTTCGTACAGGAAATTGTGATGCAGTCCCCAAACTGGGACAAATCTTTGCAAATACGGGCGAAGTCCGCCGATGGCATCTTAACAACGCAAGAATACTCGGTATCCTGCATAGAAAATATTGATTAGAAAACCAGTAGCTCAAGTCTCACCGATTCAACTAACCGGAATCCCCAGGTGTTCCTGATCCAAGTTGATGAGTTTCATAGAATAATCGGAAACGCGTTCATTATTTTCGCTCTCGAACGTAAATGTGACAGTATCCGGGTCGTCTTGAGCTTTCAAGGTGATCGCATCCGAATTCGAGGCGCACTTCAATATTTTACTCAACCTGCATAAACGTGGTTTATCAAATGTCCAGATTTCGGTGAGAGGAAAAATTACTTACGAAGCGAGATTCATGCCCATGGTGAGATTGCGATCGCATCTGAACTTGTCGAAACCTTCGGAACCCATGTTCAAACTCACGAGGCTCACGTGGGAATTATCCATAGCTTGGAGCTGAATGCCATTCTCGGAACAATCGAAAGACGCTTCGTTCAATAATTCTCTGATAGCCTCCATAACCTTCTTCAGAAGGGATCCCTGCGTCAGGCGCGCCTCAAACATGTTTCCTATTCGAGTAGTAGCTGAAACCGATCACAAACGCACAGTTCTTCAGCAAAAAAAACCCTGAGGAATGAATTCAGAATTGTCACACTTCGTGAAACATTTGACTCCTGCATTTCGCCAAGATAGGAAAAGAATGTCCACGCAAACTGTAATCATTTATCCACGATAGTCACAATCGAATCCTTCCGCAATCCATCAGAACTTCCCGCGTCTGCCTCGAACAAAAAGTGACCACAATTTGCGCGCGCAACTGCCATCTCAAACTGACAGGGGCGAGGACGTCGACGTTATTTTCTACAAGCGTCATGATGGGTAGGATATATGAACGAAGACCATTCCTGATTCAATATTACTCATTCAATTCAAAATTTTATGAAATTCAGACTATGAGATGAGCTTTCACTTCATTTCAAAATATAAGTATTCAAATGATAAACTTCTTGAAAATATTTCCGTATAATGTATCAAGTTGCACTGTACTGTATATACTGTACTGTATATGGGAAAAGCGAGAAGTACGGAGGCGCATTGTACACAGTACATGAGTACAACACCGTACATTCATTACTGTATGTGAAAGGCTCAGGCAGGGAACGCCGAATAAAATTCTGCTTATTAGCACAATTTTCATCGCGTCGTCATTACGGACTCTTCGACGTGTACGTACGTGACGAGTGGATGCTGAGTGACGAGTGAAGAGCGAACTACGGAATTTGAACGTGTATCCGGTATGGAACGTTTATTCGCGACTGATCCTAGAAAATAGATTTCCCTATAATGCCGAAAGAGAGCCGTACTCACAAAGTACGGTCTAATCCTGGTAAATCGAAGCCCCTCGCAGGATCGGCTGAATTATTTGCTCTTGGATCGAAAGATTCCGAACATTTGAGGCCAAAAGATGCTACGGGAAGCCCATCTAGTTCCAGCAAGCAAGCAGCGCCCGCAGGCCCACCAAAGTTGAAATCCAGTAAGGATCAAAGATTACCGACTTCATCGAGCAGCGGTGGTGCGTCCGCGAGTAGTACTGCTGGACTCGATTTTTCTCGTCGTGTGGAATTGAATCCTGCCGGAGAATCTCTGTGGGAGGTGAGTTTTCTCAGTGTTCTTAAATTTGTTACGGCTGACAATTCATCGTTTTCACAGGATACAGCGAAGGAGGTAGATCCCGTCGCGCTCGTTCATACTGTGCTCGAAGATGAAGAAGCAAGCGATGAAAGAATTGAATCGGTTTTATGTGGAGCTGCGAAACAGTTGCGGAATTCCAGAAATGGCAAGCCTGATCCCATGCTCTCCGTCGCGCTGATGGTGATAGCCAAAGCTGAGCCTACTGTTTTTCGATTTGAGAATGTCCAAGCTGCTTTCGGGAGCTTGCTCCGTGTGCCTGAAAATGCACCAGGATCTGGGTCGACACCTTCAGCAGCAGGTTACAAAAGCACCAAATCTTGCCTCGGTGTACTGGTGTCCAATGTGTTGATGATGTCACATATGGTAAGTTTTGTTGATTAGGTTAATAGTGATGATCGTTTCCGAAATGTCTTGTTTGTTCAGGATACTGCGTCGTGGCCGGAAGAGTGGGTTTCTGGATTCATTGAAGACTCCTTAGGAGACAGAACTTGGGTGGATGGCGATGAATGCAGAGGTTTCGTGCGAAATTTGACGACAGCGTTTGGAACCCGCCTCCCGTCTGTGAATTTAAATCCGTTGGAGGGCTTTGAAGCTGAACCGGAAATTGATCCCGAACGATTGGATTCCGCAGTCCGTGATAGGCGAGTTTGAATTTTTATTCAAAAGGTTTTTCCCTTGGGGGTGTGGTGAGATGAACAAATTTCTGGAGTTTGAATTACGAATTGATATGAATTGCGTGAAGCATGTGAGCACAAGCATGTGCATGTGCTCAAATTTCATAGGTACAGCCTGAACGACTTGGGTTTTCAACTGATGTAATTCAATAATTTATTTATAAATTATAAATAATTTATTCAAGAACCCTGATAAATAACAGTACTTCAGTGCAGCATCGTATACTATACGTAGTGTTTTTACTAAGCGTCCTCGGTTTTCGAAATGTCCTGAATTTAATGAAGTGTAGCTATAATTTTGAGTGTGCAAAATCATTTACAGTATTATGCAAAACGTAATTTTGTTCTCTTATTGATCACTTATGAAGAAAATCTTTGGTTAGTCTAGGTATTGTTGGACTCGGGCAAATGCAATAATGTTGCTTCCTTATTTATTCAGCTTTTCCTAAAATGCTCAAAATTACTTATAATTTAGTTGTAATTTAGTTTTTCTAACGAATTTGAATATCCCGCAGTTGTAGATGAAATAACATATCCTTAATTTTGAATAAAAATCACTGAAAACTACATTTTTACTACAGTATTGTATGTTGAATTTCTGTGGCAGTTTGCCCCATTTTCAGAGTAATCCATTGATTTCTGATTTTCATGAAATATATTGCAGATTCAAGCATTGCCAGAAATCAGTTGGCAAGATGACCGTGTCCGCAGTTGATGCTTATTTGAATCGAAGACAGCCTTGGGAGGCCGTTGGACGTCATGTGGTCAAACTTTTGATTTCCGCCGCGGGTATTCCTGGTATCCGACTTACAGCCGCGTCAAAAATCGAAGCTTGGCTGGGAAATCCGAAATTATCTCGACTGGCTGGGGACTTATTGCGTACCTTGGCCGCAAATCTGAACCCAGTGACAGTGGAAACGGACAAGGAAGTGATCACTAACTTTCTCCGCATACGCCCTAAAGCGAAGCCCCAACTGAATCAGTTTCTCGTGTGCATCAAGGAAGCAGTCAGTCAAAATCCTGAAATCCTTGCCTACATACTCAAACTTGTGTTCTACAATGAGCTGTCCAACACAAGGAATCCGAATAACATGCAGATTATTGCCACCATCTTCCAAACAAATTTGAGTCAAGCGACGGCTGTTCTTGCTGGTCTCTTCATGGAGTTACTGAAGCAGGAAGAAGATTATTTGCGAGCATTGAAGCTGCTGTTCAGAGAAATTGTACGCGCTTTAAGACATGAGTTCAGATTTGCCGAATTTGCTCGCGAGTTGTACACTGGCGGCTCTGCATGGAGAGATTTCCGAGCCTCGTCAGCAGCCCGAAGAGAGAGAGTTTTTCATGGGCTTGTTGAAATCGGAGCCCTAGCTATTGTCCTAGCTGTTTCTCCATCTGTAAGTCTACTGAATTCCATCAGTTTTTTTTTTCTCTCTAAGGACCTCTTTCTTTTTCAGGTTAAAGAAGCAGCACTTGCGATGGCTAAGGGTGAGCGGCACAAGGATCTCACTCCTTTGGTGAACTTCCATCGAGAATGCTCCGAAATCCAGAGGGATGCTGTGTATTGGATTCACACGCGTACAAATGACATCTTTGCTCCCTCTTCCCACGATTATGTGAGGTAATTCCCTTTTAGAAATTCGAATGGAACGGGAATCGCCGTGTATGGAACTATTGTATCACAAGTGTAGATACTGAAAAAATTCGAGATTTCGAAGGTGGAATATGTTTCGCTGCAAAATTCAGATGGGCTATATTCGGTTTAACATTCAGAAAGATGTGTTCTTCAATTTACTTTGTTCTTTCTTAATGTTTCGAATCTTATTCTCGTATTCTCTTGTCAAACTTGATTTTTCGTCCGGTTTTATGTTATAATATAGAGATCAATATGTTCAAAGTTCGTGACTTTCGCCGATTTTTGAAATTTCCGGCTTCAGATTTTTTGTGTTATCAAGTTTTATCGTATTTCGCTCAGTATAGAAAAATCACAACGCTATTGCCTTCTGTATTTTAACGCTCATATTTTCTCTTCATGTATTATCAGGGGTTTACACAAGCTATTTTGGATTGACCAGAATGATTTTCACTGGACGTTGGACAGCTGGCCTGCTGAAAACGAGAAAAGCATTTTAGCTCGGATTGCAGCCGAGATCCCCGTGCTCGAGGATACATTGCTCAGATTAACTGCGTTTGGATACAGTAGGGATCATCCATTCAAGGTTTGTTCATTTTTTCTCGTTTAAACCGATTTTGTGAAGATTAGAGAACGGTCTTTCGTAATTGGTGCAACGCTTTAACTGCAGGCAGCAGACGCCCTTGAACTTGTCGATGCTCTTGTGCGCCGTTGTGCGGCGGCAAAATCGGATCTCCCGATGCTGGTGATGGAAAACACACAGTTCCCTGACTTGCTGTTCAAGCTCACTCAATATTTCCATCCAGAAGGTACGAACTTTCCGGAAAATTACTCCGCTCCCACCATCGCGATTGTGAGTCATTACTGGAAAGCGTGGCAAGTGCTTGTCTTGGTAACTGCGCACAATCCGGCTTCTTTTGGAGAGTTTGCATACGAGGAATTCCCGACGCTAGCACTTTTTCTTGAGATGTGCATTACGAATCAGTTCTCCTGGTTGCCAGTTGGCGTCTTACCGCGAGATAAATGTGAGGAGCTTAGAGTGAAGGAAGCCCAAGCTGTAGCCTTCGAAAAACCAAAAATGTTGGAGTATGAGTTTTTCCTCGCTGGCAGAGTAGTTAGCGAAGAATCTTCCCAGCTTTTGTCAACTGTGATTACTCTTGACATTCGAGGATCCCCGAGGAAACCGCCGCAGCAAATTTTGGCTCAGCTCAAAGCTTTGAATGCAACATTTAGGTATGTGAGGCGAAAATTTTTTCCCTAAATAATACACATTTTTGGATAGTTCAAGTCTCAATTTTGGAAATTTTATTTGAATGCATTTTATTTGCATTTTTTAGCAACTTTTTCAAGAGCCAACGATGATGTATGTATTTTCAATAATGAACCAGCTAATGAGATATGTGGTTTTTAGTTATTTCAAAATTGCAGGCTCATGTAGTTCATGTTTCTTGTTGATTCAGCTTCTCAGCATTCATGGTTTTCAACATGATGCAATATAAGAACTTGACGAAATTCTTGTTGACCACGAAGGAAAAGACCTGAAATTTGCCTGACCAATCGCTGAAGTATTCATAAATAACCTAAGTTTTCCGAAAGGAACCTTTATTTTTTCTAGGAAAGATAAAAAATCAGGTTTTAAATCAGATTTAGAATCAGGTTTATATGTGTATTATGTAATACTAGGGAATATCTATCGAAAAAATTTTGTATTGTCAGTAAGTTGACCAGATTTTACGGGTGCCGTAAGTTATTTGATTCAAATGATCGCATTTTTTTCGGTATCATCTGTTCGATGAATAAGTTGAGATTCGGGGATGTTTCTGCAGTTTTTCATCATAGGCTCAACTTTTCATCGTTTTCTCCAGGGTCGGGCATTTGTTATGCAGGAGCAGATCTCCAGATTTTTTGCTAAAAATCCTCGATCGTCAGCAAGCCAGCCAAGCTTTGCCTTGGCTCGGAGCTCTCGTGGAATCGTGCGAGGGGGCTTTCGACATGCTACCGATTCCGTGTTTGTGCGAGTTTCTTATGATCGATTCTCCCCAACAAAACCAAAAACCAACTACTCAAACGAGAAAGCAGCAAGTTGTTGCTCACTTGAGTTATCTGGTGGATGCTAGTGCGTTTCAGGATAGTCAAGATCAACAACAGCCGATAGACTTGGAGGAAGATGAACGCGCGGCAGAAAATAGGGTTCGCGTTCTGGACTATTTCTTTCAGGTCAGTTGAGATGAAAAACTGAAGAAGAATGTCGAGTTGAAATGATGACTTAGATTAAGCTGTCATTCATTGTTTGGTTTTTACAGAGACTTAGTTCCGAGCTAAGCAGCGTTAGAAAACAAGCTGGCGTTGTCTTAAACCTGCTGCTGCGTCAGAACAATGGTGACGTGGGAATGCCAGATCATCCCTCGTGGTGGCTCATCAAAAAATTGCCTAAATCCAAGTACCTAGTTACGGTTTTACCGCAACTTACTCGTGCCCTCCGGCAGGTGAGCATCTTTAAAAAAAAGCAATGGGTGTTCGAACCTTCAACAATTCCTGTCGATTCTTATTTGTAAAGAATCAAAGATTTTTGTTCAAGATTCACCCTGTATCGGCTCAATTGTGGGAACGATTCTTCCGTCAATTTTTTTCCCAATTTTAAGATTCAACGAGTGTTACTCGTTTCATGTGAATCCGTTCCTTAGGAATCATGGGTTGTACGCCTGATTCTTATTTTTCACATTTTGTATGCATGTGAATTCAGCGCTCAACTCTGGTCGCAACTTTTATTCGCATGTTAGAAAATCTATTATAATATTTTATTCATTGATCATTTCTTCCCCGCTATTCTTCCTGTTTTCGTACGATTGGTTTCAAGTTCTATTTCATTGGGAAATTCGTGCAATTGTTGGAGTCTATTTTTCTTTCACGTTCAAATAATTCGCATTTGCTTCCAGGCCTTGCAAGTGGAGTGCGATGTACGAGCAGTGAGTGCTTACCTTACGTTCATCGCTGAAGAAATAGTGGGTTTCAAAGGTGGTAAGTTGGCGTTGGCTGCGTTCACGGAGCTGATGCTGGATCTTGCCACCGTTGTTGTCGAGAGGAACATCATAATCGATGCAGTTTTAAAACCGAGTAAAAAGCGGAAAAATTTGGAAGAACAACGCACTTCGCTTGAAGCGCTTCTCACCGTTTTTGCCAAGTATTTTAGAGCTCATTTCGAAGCGAGGAAATCCAACATCAGTCCCCCGGTATGGCAGTAAATTATTGTTGATCATGAGTTGACTTACCTTATGAACTCACATTGCAGGGTTCGGAATCGAACGTCACGATTACCTGGGTTCCCGCTGGAAAGTTCCCGGATGTCGAAGTTCCTTTGGGTGTTCTACACGCTACGTTTGTTCTTTTGACTTACGGTCCTCCGCATGGAGGAGACGCTTCGTGCTTTCATGAGTTGTGTGCTTTGTGGTTTGATTTGCACTGTCGTCCGAGTGCATTTCAAGGCGCCGAAGATGGGATTGAAAACGAGATAGCCTTGTTTCCAGACTGGTTGGCTTTGCGAATGCTTAGGTGAGATTCACGTACAGTATTTCATGTGATGCAAGTAAAAGTTCCATGGAGATTAACTTATTTTTGAGAAGCATTTTTTGACAACTGATTCTTTCCCGTTGCACTCTACTTGTGCCTCTCAAGTCCGCGATTTTAATTTCTATGGTTTAGGTGCTTCCCAAATTCCATTACATTTCGTTAATTCAATTTTATGATGTACAGTGCAGTACCATATGTTATTTCTTCTGGCTAGAGATTCGAGCTACATCTGTGCACGTACCAAAAAAAAAAGTAAAACAGCCAGGAACGACATTTTTTTTGCGAATCATATACTGGACTTGATATTTATTTTCAAGTATTGTTTTCTTTTGTACATTCGTGTTGACCTCGGACGTTCGGTCGGACGAAGAATTAATTTTTGATATCAAATTATGAACAATTTCGTTTTCAGATGTAATTTCAGTCAAGCTGCGGATGCTGCTCTGGCAGGGATAAAGGATCCCGGTCGACTCGTGGTGTTTTTCCAATCGTTCGGAGTTCCTGTTAACAACATGTCGAAATTACTTGCCGCACTGGATGCCTGCGTTGATGCTGATCCGGACGCTGTTGCTGACGTGGTTTCGGATGTAAGCCGGCAGTATTTGCTGAAGCTGATCGAAGCCCAGCGGGAACGCGGTGCTATTGGGGGACATGAATTCAAAGCATTGCTCTTGCAAGGCGGGGAAGAGAAGATGGACACAGAGGCAGCTGTGGAGTTTAATGTTCCCGTGAGCCAAGTTTTCCACATTAACTTCGAAAAGAAGATCAAAATTTCGTGCCGTATTAACTTGGAAACCTTAAAATTCAGATGACTGTGGGTTGCGTAACGATTATTGTAGAAAGCTTTGTAAACTTTTGATTCAAAGTACTTTATTAAAATCTTCAAACATTCATTTAAAATTCCTCGTCAACTTCGAAAAAAATATTGAAGAACATGTTGACCTCGAAAATTTTGAATTCACAATTGATTTTTGCAGCCTCCAGCGTACCTCGAAAATTGTGTTGTGTAATGATTACATCATAATTTTAGAAGACGGTTATTTAAATTCTTTCAAGCTTGGTCAATTTTCAAAATTTTAAAGGGATAAAGCGAAATAAATATTGGAACTAAATTACATTGAAAAAATCTTGGATCAGGCTTGCAACCCCGAGTTTAAGAGTAGTGGAACAAGATTTTTAATCCTTTGTTTTAGAAGTAAGTTGCAAGGAAACGATTGCAAAACCGGCCATGACTACATTTTCCTACGTTGAAATAAATATAGCAGTCTTAGGAATTTCAAAAGGTACCGTACTTCAGAAAACTAGCATTAATTAATCACTGTTGTTTTTAGAATCATTGGTAAAAATCTTGGATATGGTTTGTGATGTGGATTTGAACTTCATCCATTTTTTTGTTGTCAAAATTGAAGGTCGTCATCGAGAGACGTCGGTTTCCTTTCGCTGAGATCCTCGGAGTGTTCGAGCTGAATAAGGGAGTCAGCCAGGAAATGCTTAGAGCCTCAGCAATGCGGCTCTTCGACTGTGATAATTTGCTCAAGTGGACCCCAACTGAGAAAAGGGCTGCGCAAGCTAGCTTCCAAAAAGCCATTACGCTTGAAATAATGCTCTCAAAGCGTCTCAATCCCAAGGAATTCCCCGTCCTTACTACAGTGCTGGCTGTGATCGAAAGCGCACTTTCATCTGCTGCCCCTGAAGCTCGTCGATCGCTTATGAAAGCTTTCAGAGACCAGGAAATCCCGACTGCTTGCTTGTTCAACTTGCTAGCCTCCGTGAGTTCCCTAATGCAGATGGACTTCCTCAAAGATTCTCAGAGCCAGAATTTTCTGTCGGAGAAAATAAAATTGTTTTACAGAAGCCCTATACTGCCTATAGGAATTTTAAAGACACTTGAAGTTAATTTAAAATCTAACTGCAGATTCCAAAAGTCGATTCACACATGTACACAGGGAAGATCGTTGGGAATCGTATTCTAAAATATGCGAGCTAAAAAAAATCAGATGCTTTTTCACGAACTTTCTCTGCTAGAAAAAAGAGAAATTTTCGTCCGCACGATTAATGTGAAATATATTTTAAAATTTGTATCCGAAGGCGAAGAACGAAGTAAACGACGACCGCATCGTCAACACTATGAACCGTGTGTTCCATTTGGCAAAACCTCGAGCGTCGGACGAAGTCCCTGTTTCCGGGGTTCTCGCCAGAGCCTGTGATCCTGATCTTGCCTTCGGGGCGTCGTCGGCAATTTCAACGTCGCCACGACGGGTTCGATCGAAACTACCTCCGAATGCCACTCCGGAAATTTTGGAATCTGCGTATAGGACAGCTTTAAAATCCTGTTCTGATGCCAGTGCGGAAACTACATTGGCTGCCTTTGTGGAAGACGCCATGTGGAGGAACGATAGTCGACCATTGGTCAATGCTGTCGCGTCGTTGCTGGTGGATGAAGAGTCCCCAAACAAGGTACCGTTGATCACTTCGCTGTCACTAAGTTTCGGTTGTTAGTAGGGTGTTCCTTTGTGATCTGAGAAACTAGTTCCGCAATTTTTATGAAGAAAATTGGGAGAAATACATTATTTAGGAGAAATCTTTGGATGTGTACATTTATTTGATATCACTTTTTCATTGTAATTTTTTGCGAACAATTTTTTCGCGTGGTAAATGAGTAAAGTCGGAACTAACTTGATAACAAGTAATGAACTTTATTTCTGCCTTGAGAATCCTGAGGGCTTCGCCGGCTTGGAATCTTTTATAGAATATTTCCATGTCCGATGATTTTTCCGAAAGGTCTCCATCCTTGTGGATGTACTGCCATCTTTGGATCCAGAGCTCGGATCCACGGAAGCCATGCGGAGTGTGCTTTTTGCCAAATGGCGAAGAGAAACTGGCGTTAGACCTCAGGCGTATCTTTTGTCGTTGCTCACACATCAAGCATCATATGGGACCCTAGCTGAAACGATCAGAGCTGTTCTGTTGCCGAACCAGAATGCCTATGACCCCACATCTGTCCTGGATTTTTTAACTGCTTGCGTTTTCGTGCCAAAGTTGTGGCAAGGAAGACCGAAGTCAGTTCCGAGGCGGCTGAGGCCTGATGATATTTTAGGGCTTGACTGTGAGCAACTGGGACGACTGTGTGATTATGTCATTGAGGAATGCGATGCGGGTGAGTGTGTAAAAATCTAAATTCTTCTCGAGTTTTTACAATGTAGATAAAATTTCATGTTGCCGAGTAAGTGAGCAGTCGCGTATCATTTCAGGATATTCCCACTGTAGACCCCGATGTCCGCTACTGTTTTTTTTTCTCTTGCTGTTACATGTAGTACTTTTTGCATAAAATTTTTTTTTTCGTTCTGTAGGTATTGAGTTACACTTTTTGGATGCGAGGTCGGATAGTGTTAAGGTCAGGTCAAACAATTTTGAACTGTAGTAGCTTATGTCTGTCTGCATTTTCCTGTTTTTCCCATTAGTGATCGTGGCGACATCTGCCTTACATTCGAAGAATCCTGATCGGACCTTGACAATTAAAGGTTCTTCATTTATATTCGATTGTAGGTGGCTGTGATGAGCGATCAATGATCAACCGTATGAATTTACTGTTGCGTTGTTGTCGTCGCCATAACAAGGAGTATGGTGACGATTTTGAAAGATTGAAGTTCATCGTGGACCGACTATCTGCGTACGAAGACCACACCAGCAGCGTTTTCAAATTGCTTTCAATCGTTTATTCCAAGCGACCGCTCGGCGTGGCTGACTGCGTCACGAGACGCGTTGAAGATAATTTATCTTGGACTGCTTCACCCGGTTGTTCTCCGTACGACGTGGTCGTACATGTAGTTATCACTTCCTTGGGTGCTTCCACTCAGCGAGGCAAAGATTGGGTAGACAGGCTCGGGGTTTACGAGGCAGCGTTGCGAAGATTGGCGGTTCGGACGCCGGCTTTGGTTCTTCGCCAATTTCCGTTATTGGCTGCCACTTTGCGGGGCAGAACCGTGAATCAGAAGTTCGTGCATTTCCGGATGAGCCACAATTTACGGCTTTTCCAGCTGGTGATGGACCTGATGAGCGACGTGCTCACGCCCCACGTTTTTCATCCTTCTCATGCTGTGGCTGTGCTTGACGTTTGTCAAACGTTCGGGCAGGTGTTCTCTACGTGAGTGTTTTAATCTCCCTTTTTTTCTGCTCGGAATTATCGCCATTTCAACCTGCAAACACGAAAAAAGTTAGTTCATTCAAATGAGACCAGAACGTGCTTCTGAAATTACGCAGGTATCGCTAATTCGAGAACCTGACTGAAGTTAATACTGTATCACCAAACTTACGCAGACACACAGTAATCGTGAACCACTCCGAATCTTTACTTCGTTATGAAACTCATCTGGACGTGAGAGGACTAAGAACAATTTGAGTGACTCATTCCGTATGACAAAAAATGAGTAAATAAATATGAAAAAAATCGGAACGATGAATACCACTTATATGAAACAGGGGAGCAAGCATTTTTCAGTGCATAAATCAACCGAAATATTTGATTATAAATAGAATCCTGCCGAATTCCCGTTCAATCGAATGGCGTAATCTTGTGTGAATTTCTCGATTTGTTTTCCATTTCGCGTAAAATCTTGAATCGGATTTCGAATTTTTTTTTCATGTAAAGAATTCACATGGAAATTCGCAACTTACAATGCAGCTATTGTACTAGGATTATTGGGCTTTATTTTTCGTTTAAAAATTTATTTTTTTCATTTTTGAACAATGCAGTGGCTATTCAATGACAGGTTAAGCTGTTTCTGCCTTTTGTAATTGCTGTATGATGGTTTGGGATTTTTTTTACAGGTTTTGTGACGAAGGTGGAGAGTTGTTGGCTCCATTGGCTTCACAGTTTTCTAATTTTCTGGAGCGTTATTTGTCTGCGGATGCCGTTTCGGCTGTGAAAGTAATGGATGAACTGCATGGCGTCTTGGTGAACCTAGCAGCGTTCTATCCGGATCTCAGAGTCATCGACGATATGTTGTTCATTTCTCGTTCGCTGCCAGCTCCTGACGCCGCGAGGCGATCCGACATAGGCACTTGGGTTCCGAGGCCGGATTTAGGAAACAGGTGAAAGAAATTTTTTGCGCTTGATAGAATACAGGTGGACTCTTGACAAAATTCATGTGACTAGAAAAAAATATTCGTTGCTGAGAATCTTCATAATATGGGTGGATACCCCGACGGTACTGAAAAAAATTGTTTTGCAGAGAAAATCGTTGTAGAGAGAGTCTACATTTATTACTGCGATGGTAAACAAGCATTGGTACTGGAACAATTATTACAAAGCAAGGTTTTGTTATTCTGGAATGTCTTCCTGCGGTTAAAAATCAAGGTCAAGTTTGAACATGATACAAGTGCCAGCATTTTTATTTGTGGGATGATTCAATTCTTGAAAGAAGAGGTTATAAATCTGTTCAACTTGTTTGAGAATAAATTAAAAAGAGTAATCCAGTTCTACTTCAGTGATCAACATTTTCAAGCTGCTAATTAAACATTTTTTCCCGATGCGCGCGTCTGTTGGTACATAAGACCACGGGACATCGTATGTATATCATCATCAAGCGCAAAAACAAAATATGTATTTATTATTGAAGGACTGATCGTGGATCCGAAACCTCGCCTGCGTACGTGAGATCCATTGTAGACGAGATGACGAAAGGATGGGACGACGCCATCATATTGTCGAATTGTCTTCGCAAGCTTGAATCTGTTTCCTCTGTGGACTCTCGGTCGTCTTCCCTTCTCCGCCCTGCGTTGGACACGTTGCTGCGATTGTGCAACAGCAATTCTACACGGCAGCTGCGAACAACCGCATTGAATCTCCTCATGGATTGCGTTCGAACTGCCAGCGCAGACACGGTTGATAAAGTTGTCAAAGCTGTGGCTGTTCGATTGTTGCGACCCGGTGATGATTTACTTTTCACCGACTCTTTGCTGCGAGTCGTGCCGGATTTAGTGGCGGCTGCACCGAATCGAGCCGGAGAGCTTTTGGCTCGCGGTGCTTTCAGGCTGGCGTTATGTGGGTCTAAGGAAGCAGAGAAGGCGATTAGCAAGTCCCTGTCGTTACTGTTCAATGTGAAAGGAGCCTCTCTGGATTCGGCCGGCAACGCTTCTGACCGTTATGCCGATAATTATTGAGTTTCTACTGAAGTCAGTATCAAGGAAACCAAGACGTGCTTGATATGCCCATCACTCCGATATCCATGCGCCACTTCCTCGGGGATCACGTCGCGCAAATTCTCTGGGCATCTTCTCGAAATGGTCAAGCTCTGGAACTGTGTAAACTTTTCCGTCGGGGATTCGTGCCTCGTATTGAGCGCGAAGTCCCGAATCGTTATTTTGTCGAATAATCGATTGGACGGCATCAAATGGTTGACCCCTGATCGATTTTGTTGCGTTGATTTGAAATTAAATTACGTTTCCAAGAAGTTCATTTGCCTATGAAATTAATCTCACAATTATGGAAGTTATGAAGTGTTTGTGGGACTCATTTCAGGATTTGAAAGTGATTCTCAGCTTTCTGGTAGTTGCTTCAGTGAATTTCCGGAAATTTATGAGGTGAGTCGTCGTTCCATCAGTTATATTGCTCATTCGAACTGTTGAAGGTTTGAAATGGGAATTTTCGTGTTCGGTTGAAATTTCTGTCCTAAAAATCTAAGTGGTTCCGTTTTTTTCACGAGATGGGGAACAAGAAAAAGAAGAAGGAAGCATTCGGTATGTACTTCGCAGAACAGAGAAGGAAGAGTTCCTTCCCTTCAGGCAATGCTGGCTTACTGAAGGCTCTGGAGGATTGGAAACATTTGGATGACGAAGTCAAAAGCAGGCAAGTATAGTTGAGCATTAAATGGAAAATCACTAACCAGATTTCTTTCATCAGGTACAAGCGCATGGCTCAAGAGGAAAACGAGAGATTGAAAAATGACATGTCGAGGAAAAAAGATTCATTTGGTCGATCGATTGCGGACAATATGAAAGAAGAAGAGATGAGACGAGAAATGGAGAAGAATCGCAAAGTACGAGTTGGGGAAATTGTTCAGAAGTACGTAGAGTTTGTGAATTGTAAATAGGGTTCAATTATGATAGGTTTTACGTTTGTTGAATTATGATGGTATGACTTCCAAGTGGAAAACTCATGGCGAGAAAGTTCGTTTTCAGGGCATTGGTTGAAAAGTGCTTCGAGAAACAACCGTTCCTCGTCGGAAATTTCATGGCGTACGGGTACAGCGGACTAAATCCGGAAGCGGACGACTATTTCCCCTGTGAATTCGGCCTGATTCGCTTCAACTTGGAGGATGGCGTAGAGCCGAAGTGGTTTGCTCATGCAATTGTCAACCCTGGGGCTCTGGAAGACTTCCAGTGAGGAACATTTTTCTGAATGTAGCTAATCTGATATGGCTAATACGATACTGTATGTAAATTTAACGAAGCTGTAAGTTGTTTTTTTTTGTATCTGAACTTCGAATGCTCTTCTCATTTGCATATAATTTACGTCGAAATATCAGGGCTTCGCTATTTCAGTTCCGATTAAAAAACATCTCTCGATTTTCAAGTGAGTGATGAATGTTGTTTTTTTCGAACAATCGTGAAATGCAGCAGCTTCTGAAGAACGTATTTCTGAGGGCACTCTTTTAACGTTTCGTACGTAATGTTTTTTGGGATGAAGTTTAAAAACTTGGTTAGCTAGGGCTATGTTCGCGAAGTTCGATTTATGCTAGGTTCGGTCCGTCGAGTTCAAATTATTTAGTCAAGGTAAACTTAAGTCTAGAAGTTTTTTTTTTTCTTTTAAGCCACTGATTAAAGCGACACTTGATGTCCCAGAATAGAAGCCCACGCGTTTAAGATAAACGAACTCTTGGCTCAGAAAATGAGATGTTTTCGTTCCAATTCTATTTTTGTGCATCGCATATCATCAGTTGAAAAATTTTTGGTCTTTGCGTAACCGTTTTCTTCAGAGCTCAAGCTGTGGAAGTCGCCAGTGAGACAGGCATTCACGTTTTGCACGACAAGGTCCACATGAATTCCGATTACAAGAAAATGCAAAGAGAAATCTTGAACATGACGAGTGCAGCATGCAACACAGAATTAAAAGAAGATCAACCGATTTTTATCATGGAAAAAGAGTTGAATACAGCATCAGGGGTTCTCCGCTTCATCTTTGACAAAGCTGGCGGATACGGCGAGATTCCCGAACTGCTGTATTTAGAGGATCTTCTCGATCAACTCCGCTTTTGTGCGCACAAGTACCGATTGTCGAAAGGATTGGAATCTAGTGAGTTACCTGTTTTTTTATATCCCTATAGGGGTTTACTCAATCCATCTAGACATTTTTCACGTTTCTTTTATTTTTCCGTCTATTTATTTAATTTTGTTCGCCCTGTGAGAGTTTTCGCGATGACCAACGATTGTCTGTCCACTCTACTTACACGAGTTCATTTTTCTTATAGTCATCTCCTTCGTGTTTTTCATTTTACATGTATTCAATTTTTATTTCCACAGATCCTATTTTAAGGTTCAAAGCGGTAGTTGATGATACGTTGGATCATGGACGTTTCGATTACGCTTTATCACTGGCTTGCGATGTCCATCGTGATAAAGAATCTCCGGAGACCTGTGCCCTGACTCGTTGTCGCAAGAAAGCGATGTTGATCTTGTGTCACATGTGTGAGCTTGTGGTGATACGAGCGAGGAGTGGCTTCCATTTCCCCCTCGATTCGCCCAGTGGCATAAGTGACAGTACTTTGGTTGACGAGAAATTCAAACCCTCAACATTCTTAACAGAATAGAGCTTTTTATGTTGTCGTCCGAACGTGTTTTCTTGCTCAGTTGAAATTGGATCTTGAAGAAAAGAACGGTTATTACTCAATCTTTCATTCGCACGCTTGTGAGGATTTCAAGTGTATCCCGTGGAGTTTTGATCAAAACTTCATTGCTTTGTTGAAGTGTTGAATAGAAATTGCACTTGCCGTTCTGCAGTGTGTGTGATTGCGAGCTTTTTCGCGTGTTTATAATGCTTTGTATTCAGGATAAAGTGTGACGTGAGCATCTCATCTTTCTTTCGCAAGAAGTTAACAGAGTCAGGCCGAGAGAAATCACATTTTTGATCTTCTTTCCAGGGATTTCATGTACCGCTTTGTTTAATGCTTACGGTGTCGCGGGTTCGGGAGGCTCCATGGCAGGGGAACAAGACGCGAGTTCCTCGTCGTGTTCTTCGTCGGGAGAAGTGAATTTTAATGCGAAAACCAAAATGCTCCACACTCCAAGAAGTATTCTGAAGCGCAAGTTGTCCGAAGTGGAAGTGTCTCCCGATGAATTTAGCCCCCAGAAAGCTGCCAAAAGAAGCAGATTGTCCTTTAAGGACGTAACTGTCTACTACTTCCAAAGAACTCAAGTGAGTCCTCGTATCATCTTTCAAAATTATTTAGTGAATAGACGTTGTTCAAGAACATTTTAGACATATGTTTCGAGATACAGTATTGTTCTCCTTACAATCGTACGTTTTCTTGGAAGTTTTCTTGTTGAATCAGATTTGCTGGCATCTGCAGTTAATAATTTACATTTTTCATTTTATATTTAGCTGGTAATCCTGTGTTGCATGTAAAAAAAAATCAAGATCTGAATTTCGCTTTTCATGTTGAACGTGTTTCGAATACAATTAAGTTTGTAATGGAAATGGTTTTGTCAGGGCTTCAGTTGCGTTCCGTCACAAGGCGGAATAACACTCGGCATGTCTCCGAAGCATTCCCATGTGGAAACATTTACGATAGCTGGCTACGCAAAGGAACAACATCGTATTCACCTGGAAATGCTCAAAGAACACCGGAAAAGAATACTCGCATTGCGGCAAACTCTGCAGCGCCAACAAATGCAACAGTCCGGCTCTACCGCGCTCGCTCCTCCCTTGGACAGTCCGACGAGCCCGTCGAACCCCAGCGATGACAGCGAAACTGACGACGAAGACGACCTTGACGTTAGTTTGTTGGGTGATGAGGAAGTTGAGTTGGATGATGGAGAAGGAGAAGAGGATGACGATGATGAAGAAGAAGAGGAAGAAGCTGATGAGGAAGGAGAAGACGAGACGGGTGAGGACGAAGAGGAGATGCAACAGATGCCGCCGCTGGTCTGGCCGTTTCCGCGATCGGAAGACACAGCATGTGTGCTGGACAACGGGTTAAGCGACAATTACTTCTTCCTGCAGCCCGTGCCTTCGAAGCAAAGACGGGCTTTGTTGCGAGCCTCGGGTGTGGAAGACTTGGATCCGAGTGAGAAAGAGGAAAGCAAGTCTATTCGAACGTTGCGGGAAGTTTGCGGGTGCAACTGCCAGAATGCGTGCCAGCCGGAAAGTTGTATTTGCGCGAAAGCGGAAATTGCCTGCCAGGTATTTCATGTTTCGAATTCTTCTTTTCGTCAAATAAAAATTGCGGAAGTGGGGAAAACTGACGAAATATATTGCGGACAGTTGAGAGGAACGCAGTAACATAGTTTATAGGATACAAGTTTATAAGAGTCAAATAGGATAAAAATTTATCCGATTCATCTTTTGGGTGGGCAGATAATTTCTGCCAATAATGGGACGAGGAATTTTTTCCTGGAGTTCATTCATTAGTTCAATTCTATCTCGATTCTTTCAACTTCGAGTTCCCACTCTGTTTTCTGGAATGTCGGGCAGGTGTAGCCCGAACAAGATAAAAATATTGTTCACCGAATTCATGAGTGTATGATTTGATCCAATTAAATCTAGCCCAACTCAGCTTCGTGCGATACTGTTAGAGGCTTTGACTTAAATTCTGAAGTATGACAAAATTCAGGTGAAACCTATTTAAGGTAATGACTCGTTAAATCTTAGATTTTAAGATTTGTTCATTCAAGCAAGAAATAAATAAAAATCAGGTATCCCATATTTTCCATTTAACTCCAAATTACAATCGTAGTCATTGTAAAATGTGATTATCAGAAATGCTTGATTGAAATTTTGATTTCCCTCTGCAAAATTACTCTTGCGATGTTTCTGAATGGAACTTGTAATTTCCCTCTTCTGAACGTCGCTGTTAAATTTCCATCAATTCTGGCAGTTAATTTTTTGGTAAAAGCCGAAAATTTGGAATCGCTATGCTCGCATGAAATTCGACTCCAATGAAGCCAGCTAAAAAAGAAAAAAAAATTGGATGACATTATTGTATTCCTCTTTAAGCTTGTTTCCAAAGGAACTGTACTTGAATTTTTGATTAAATTTCTTCAAAGGTGGACAGGATGAATTTCCCGTGCGGCTGCGACCAGTTCGGTTGCAAGAATCCTTGTGGTCGGGCTGAGTTCAACTCGGCAGGAGTCCGCAGCCACCTGATGAAGACTCTGATGCGCCTGGAGGTGGAGACCGACCGGATTTCCAGCAACACATCTGCGGGCAACGCTGCGCCCGTGCCGAAAGAAAATGAATCCGAAGAGCAGTGGCTTGAATTCAACGATGAAGAAAGCGAATCGCACTTTTTCCAAGACAATTCGGGCGATTCCGCAATGAACATTCAGAGCCTCATTCATGTCGACTTCGGGGACGTGAGCGAGTCGAGTAAGAACGGCGTACCAAAGGAATCTGGTCGTGAGTCGCCCAGTTTGGGAGAATTGATAAAGAAAAGCATTGTCGAAACGGTGTCAGCATAAAGCAAAGAGGGAATGGAAATTTTTTTCCCCATCTTGAAACTATCGCGGTATCCTGATTTTTGGGTTTAAACTAATATTTTAAGAAAGTCTGAGTTTTAATTGACACTGATGAAATAAGACTTTTGGGGACTTCAAAGTGTGTCCGAATGCTTGCGTATACCATATTCATTCAAGTACCGCGCGTCCATGTTGAAGATGTCCATTTCCAATTTTCAGTCTAAAATTTGGATGAAAACTTTTCTTCACGCGTCCCACTTTCTTTTACCAAAAATTGAAATACATTTAAAAACCTCAACGGAATTTTAATATTGATCTCGCTTGGACCTAAATTCTATACAGTAGCTTTTGAATATAATTCAGATTTTTGAGCAATGTGGTTCGAATACATATTAGGTGCCGTATTTTCTCCTCTCAATAAAAGATGATCATAAAAAATTAAAAATTACGCGTGGTATTTGAGTAAATAAGGTACAGTACTTCCTTATTTCACGTAATCTACCCGAATTAATGCATCGTGCAGAGCAGATCACTACACTAAGTTTCAGATTTTAAGGAACTGCAATTTAAAAACCATTTGAAGTACAGTACAGTACTGTACTCGGGTATCGATAATGAATTTGATCATGCTTAATTGCAAATTGAGGAAGATGTGCTTGCATTCGGAGGGCCTGTGTTATAAGTCAGACGTTCAACATTTAATTTTATGGTGTCCGCCAGATCCGGCGAAGCCACGGACGGTAAAACTAACTTTTACGAGTTAGTTTTTATGATCGGGGAACCGATTAATATTTCAGATATGCGTGTATTGATTGCGTGATTTCCACGACTTTTGGTGAGATCACGAAAACTTGAGCAATCAGAAGTTGTGAGAATCACAACTTCATTTCGTTAATTTCAGTGGATGAAATCTTTCGTTTTCTTTCTCGCTCGACATTTCAGGAATTCGTTGATTGATTAAAATCGACATTTTTTGTGAAGAAATCCTAAAGATGAAGGAAGTAGATGTCGTTCTCGAAAATACTGTGTTAAATCTAAGTTCATTGGATGGCGTTTTTGTTGATTGGAGGACCCAGTTTTAATGTCCCACGAACTTTTCCCAAAAGTTTACGAAATGGAGCAGCTGAAATATAGGGGGAGAATACATTTCATTCATTGGATGAAGTTCATCATGAGTTTATCAAGAAACCGCTTAAGATACCGCTATTCGACGAGGGATTCAAATTTTTAAAATGCTGACTATATGACGGAAATTTGAGTGATGAGAAGTAAATCCATTCAATACGATCATCGGAGAAATCTGCGAGTCCACTAACATAATCCACTTACTGTATTTGGGATTGCTCAGGAGATTGTTATAATTGATGGAAAAAATAGATTGACTTGGGGATATTTGCTCGGTCTTGGCATATTGTTAAGCGGAAAACGCATGCCATTTTGTCGTGTCGGCAAGAACTTTTGCAACCGGAGGAGTACAAAGAACCTTGAGGGGAAACATTTTGAATTCGTGCGTACAAATCGGCATTTTGGGCCTAGAACGGTTGTCAGAGGAAAGCTTTTTTTTGCATTTCGGTTTCCTTGCATTTGATTGAATTGACCAGTATTGAAATTCCGGTTTGATTTAGATCTTTTTTTTTTCCTAGAAAAGAAAAAACTATTTGTTGTTGTAAGGATATCGGATCTCTTTTGTGAATAGGGTAGCAAATCATGGATTGGGAAAGAAACAAAAATTTACTTCAACTCGAATCTCATGAATGAATGAATAATTGTGTGTGTGTGTGCCATTCTACGGATTGAGGCAGAAATGTGGTAAGATTTTCAGCCCTTGTTTTTTTCTATTCGCGGCATCGAGAAGATGGCAATTGACCCGGATACCTCTGATGTACAAACGTGTTTTCTATGCCAACAAATTTTAGCTTTTGACAATTAACCCTATTCGGCTAATCTGATGACGTTGTGGTTTTCAGATTTATGGCGGAAATTCCATTTTTGGTGCTGTTGTGCTTTTTGGAAATCTTGATTTTTTAAAACTTAGTTTCCGGTCCACTTGAGTGTTGTTTCTTTTGAATTATCGCCGGAAAATGGAAGTACTCATTTACAAATGAACTCGTTTTATTTTCAACCCACGGACGTGACAAGCTTTGCAATAACCGGCATCGTCCCATTGTGAATTCTACGGAAAATATCATGAAGGATCGAAATAAGTAGAGAACTCGAATTTGTCGCGAAGATCAAGTAGATGAGTTGGTGAGCTTAGGTACCGCAAGTATTCAAGAATTTGAATTTCAAGTCACCGAAATCGTGAATGACTAATGCTTGGGTACAATGCTGATGCAATTTGGTGGCAATCGTTCTCCTTTGTAAGCGAACTTGGGCGCCCCAGTTCCGTATCTGTAATCAGTTGAAGTACGGTGAAAAAATTATTGGAATTGATCGTATAAAAAGGAAACTTTCTTCAGTAAAATACCGCTTCAGTGTGTCATGAACACTTAATTGTGCATCAAACGTAATTTGACAAGACTCATTTACCTCTGAAACGTGGATTGAAACACTGATGGTGTAAAATTAAAATTTATTAAAATTTAAATACATTATTAATGGTTCACCATGCGCCCCTTTTTAAGACATAGCACGATTTATACGCAGAAAATTGTGAAAATTACGTATGCTTTAAACTCAAATGTTTTTAATTATGAAAAGGCGCACATGTAAGAATAGTTTTTGTTCGTAGTAAGTATACTTCGATACATAAGATACTGGGTATGCACAGCGTAAGTTGAAAAGTGTTATTTTGCACCCGCTTTTCAGGCAAAAGTCCAACAGGCACTTTTGAGTTTGATCGAATATTTTAGACGTATTTTTTATGTCCCAAATACACGTGGACTCTCGAAAAAATTTTCTTGAACAATTTTCTCTGCATAATCATTTTTGTGGTCTTAAATTCTCTCCCAATGCTAGGTCACAGCAACGGAATTCTCTCGAATGAATTTTTCTAGTCATCTGTACTAAAGATCGTGCCTCACACCACATACATTGTGTTCTCGCGTGAGTTAAAAGCAATAATATACTGTATAGGTTTATCGAAGACTGAAAGTTAAGCTGCAGATAAACACTGAATCGGTGCACATCTAAAAATAAAAAAAGAATCTTTCGACCATTTTAGCAGATTACTTACGCTGGTTTGACACCTTCAAGCCCTCCCGCTACAGTCCCGGATATCCTCGGGAAAGCGTAAGCGAACCCGCTGAGAGGCACGTTTGAGGTCGTGATGTTGTCGTGTGCCTGAGCTTTGGTCATCTCTAACCTGTTCAGCTGGTAAGTGACGAACTTGGGGTCATTCTGGGGTAAGGAAGGCACATCTGGAATTCCCAGTGGGGATGGTGCCCTCATTTTTCCCAGTGCGCGTACCGTCATTGACATTGGGGATGCCATTGAAAACGCTTGCTTTTCCACACCACTGTGTTGATCACTAGATCTCTGCTGTCCTACTTTCTCCTGCGCAATATTTTAGTAAAAAAAAAATCATGTTCAGCCATTGTTGGGAACCCAGAAGTTTGGTCTTACAGTATACTGTAATAGAAAAATAGTTCTGTAAGTAAACGCAAGGACCATACAACCTTGGCTATTTGACAGGGACCCAAAAAAACGGATTTGTAGTGAGAAAACCTTTGGTAAAAGTACGAACTTCGTGCTAACTATATGTGGTTCACCGATTACTGTTGAACGAATTATACTGCACAAATGAAGGCCCCAGCAGAAACATCACGAAGTTACTCGATAGGGACTTGCCCATGACGAACAGCAGCACAATACTTACTTATTGCCACGGCTAATTAGCTTTGCTTACAGATGATTATTCGTGGCCTGTACAGAATCTTCTGTAAACTGCAGTGAAAACTCACCAACTTAAAAAAACTATTTTCTCTACTCCGCTGCTGGGAAGTGTTAGATGCCTTCATAGTCATAATCTCACGGACATGGTGAGATGAAGCTGGTGGTATGACTGCTGATGGAACATGTGACTGCCTGCTGTTGCGCTGCACAGGTGTCGCTCCACGATCTCTCGTCATGATCATGCATTCGGAGCGATCAGGCTCCACAGATGCAACGTATGTCGATGCTCCTACCTTAGGCAAAGAGGCTTGGCTTTTTATCATTTTAAGGCAGCACACTGGATTAGAACATTGACAAGACATCGCGATTGGCTGTTGTTGGTTGGCTTTTCCCGTTAGTTGGGCTTGTCTGACATGTGCTTGGGCTTCCAGTGCTGCCCGAGACTCTTCTCCGGTCTTAACCAACGGTTCGGGCTGATATTCTTCAGATTTATTGCCTTGCATACGAGCGAGTTCCTGCAGTTGTTTTTGTAAGCTCTCCAAGGTGACATCTGTTGAGTAGCTTTGACTTGTCGTGGGCGTTTGCCCCTGGTCAAAAGTTGGAGTCAATTGCTGCTCAGTAGATGGAGTTATTGCAG